CCTCCGATGTCCACATATACCTGGCAAAGGTACATACGGGGGTATTTCTGTACTCAGCCGACATAGCTGAGCAACATATGAAGTATTATACAGTGGTAGCACACATAAGGTTTGCAAAATATACTGTGCAAACTCACTTTGTATGTCAAAAAGGCAGAAAAAACGCTTATTACCACTACACCTGGTACAAGCTAGCGGAAAAATGATCCCACGCTAAGGTTCAAAATATACCTTTTGAAATACCCTGGGGTGTCTACTTTAAGAAATGGTAGGCCTTTGTGGGGTAGTTTGAATTTAAAACCTGCGAAGATGCTTGGAAATTGCACATAGGCCCAGCGTCAAAATTCAAAGTTCGGTAAAAACCGATATGGCTTGGTCTCCTATATGGCACTGTAGCTTCACAAGATAGTGCCAAAGACATTCATTACTCAGAAGACTTAGCTGTGCATAATTTGGGAGGTTTGAACTTAGTGGCACATATGAAATATACAAAATGCCCAGCAAAAATGCAATCCGGATGTAAAAAACGCACAAAATTATTTTTAACCACATACTTTGGCATATATTGGTGAAAAAATGGGGGCATGTTAAGGCACAATATGCACCTTATGAGATACCCTGGAGTGTCTACTTTTACAAATGGTAGGCCTTTGTGGGTTTTTTTTGAACAGTCAAACTGTTATAATACCCCAAATGGAAGCTAAGGCTCATTAAATCCATCTCTCAAAATTCTACTGTGAATACTGAAAAGGACAGGTCTCCTATATGGCACTGTAGCTTCACGAAATAGTGCCAAAGACATACAATGGGGGTGTCCTTTCACTCAGAAGAATTAGCTGAGCATAATTTGGGGGGTTTGAATTTAGTGGCACATATGAAATATACAAAATGCCCAGCAAAAATGCAATCCATATGTAAAAAATGCACAAAATGATTTTTTATCACATACTTTGGCATATATTGATGAAAATATGGGGGCATGTTAAGGCACAATATGCACCTTATAAAATACCCTGAAGTGTCTACTTTTACAAATGGTAGGCCTTTGTGGGGTTTTTTTGAACAGTCAAACTACTGTAATACCCCAAATGGAAGCATAGGCTCATCAAATCCATCTCTCAAAATTCTACTGTGAATACTGAAAAGGACAGGTATCCTATATGGCACTGTAACTTCACAAAATAGTGCCAAATACATACAATTTTACTCAGCAGATGTACCTGAACACAAAATAAAACTTTGTACAGGAATAGCACACACCAACTTTACAAAATATACATGAGAATTTCTTTGTTATAAGTTTGTGTGCCAAAAAAAAACCAAAAACACAATTTTACTCCAATATTTAGCAGAGGTTGGTGGTGAAATGGCTACGTAGAAAGTGTCAAAACAACCTTAGGTAAATAGCATGTGATGTCTACTTTATATAAATATATACTTTTGTATGGCAATTTTGTTTTCTTTTATGGCTATTAAGCTTACAAGACAAACATACCAAATTCTAAAATCGCTCCACATTAAAGGTTTAGTTTACTCCTTGTGCTTTGTGACCTGTAACTACCAAAAAAAACTTAAAATCTCAGACACATTATATATTCTGTAAATCAGAACAACTAAATGAATTTATTTTTAATTACTTTCCTTAACCTGCACTAATTGTACACACATTATTATTATTGTAAAAACTGTAAAAAAAAAAACACAATTTTTAAAAAATTTTTTTTGCATTTTTCTGTATTTTTTTAATGATAATAAATAAGCATATATATATATGTATATATATATATACACATATATATATATATACATATACATTACATCAAATTAAAGCCATTTCTGTCATTTAAAAAACGGTATATAATATGTGTCGGTGCAATAAATTTGTAAAATGCAAATTGAAGTTGAACACAAACAGCAAAAAATGAAAAAAATGCTGTTGTCATTAAGTGAAAGACAAGCTTTTGAAGCTCTGTCCTTAAGGGGTTACATGTAGCATAGTAGGGCAATATATAACCCCTGAGAGTAAGAAAAGGCCAAAATTGGGTTGTGGCGGTAAGCCCACCAAAGGGCGTTTGAAGCTTATGAAGTGAAGGTCTAGTGAGAGCTGTGTAGAGGAGTAGAAGGCTGAGAGAGCTGTTTGCAATTTATGGGTAGCGGTATGCTCACACAGGGACAGCTTGAGAATTAGCAGATGTATGAAATGATAGGATGTGGGTTGATTAATGGCTGTTGACCTGTGGAGCAGTTGCAATTCACACATAGTGAAGCAAAATGGCAGACCTGCTCCATATTATAGCATGTATATAACCAACTTTACCTGCGAGAGGTCCATAATGACAGGACAATTAATTAGAGATGATAGTGATGAGCCATTTGAGTTACATGGTACCACTGATCACAACACATGTAAATGTCCTAAAATGGTGGTCGCAGTAGGTTGCCCACTGATGGCCGTATGAAACATATGATGTAGAAAGCCGAGTAAGGGCCTAATATAAACGTAAATGTGTGAGGTCCTTAATCTCTCGTGGGGTCTTCTTAATTTCACCTTACATGAAGATTGCCCACCATATCCTCTACTGAGCATTATACATAGAGCCAAGGGTGCGCTCCAAAGTCGGTGAGTTACTTGCACACTTCATTGGAGCCGTTGTCTACGCACTGTATTTAGAGGGTGCATATATATTTATAATTTTATTTATTTATTTGTTTATTTTTCAAGACCATTTTTGCATTAAAAGTTGTACTTTTTTAAATATTTGTTTTGTTAGCTTTTAAATTTGTTTTATTCGTTTATTTATTTTTCAAGACCATTTTTGCATTAAAAGTTGTACTTTTTTCATACTTGTTTTGTTAGCTTTTAAATGGAGTTAAGTGAATGTTAAAAATGTTTGTGGCATGTCTTTATTTGAAGTTTAACAATAACATACTTAGATGAGGGACGTATATATGGCCGTATAACCATAGAACAGACATAAATATGACCAATATCAATTTAAAGAATGCTTGACTAGGACTGTGCAGATCCCAGAAAGGTCAATGTGGCAGACAGTGAAATAAGACAGAGTGTTAGCAAGCAGTACTATAAATGCTAACCACATGTAAAGACCTAAGTTACATAAATTCAGACTGTCAGTTGCAACACCTAACTATATAATTATAAATAATGCAGGTCCAAAGAGTGCCATGAATAACCTGAGGGAAGGCATAATGAATACATAAAAGTTGGTGAACATAATTACGAAATGTTGATCTGCTCAAAGCTGTCAAGTATAATCAAGGCTGTGTGAGCCGACAATAATAAGTTGCAATCATGAAAAACTGAATATGGCACAGCATTTCTCATAACTTAAAATGTAGGTTGACTAACTGAATTGCATATGATGAAATACGATATGGCTTACTAAGTTCGAATACAGTAAGCAGAATGCATGAACAGAATTGAGGTATCACTGTGACGCTATGAATGAATACGAACTAAACTGCAAAGCCACTATATTTAATGAAAGGCTGAACATGGGCTGAATACATGTTGAATGTCAGTGAGGTTGAACAAACAAACCTACTGTTTTGCTGTTAGAAAAAATGCAGAACAGCAACAGCAAAAGCTGCGACGATACCCCATGAGCTTTGAGGGAGGTGGTTGTTTTTACTCTAGTGAGATAAAATGAATGCTTGCGTAGGCCTCACATGGCCAAGACCAGCTTGTTGGAGTTCCGGTAATTTGTGTTGATGACCTTTGCACCGGAAGTAGATGGTTCAGTACTGAACCCGGAAGTATCGGCCCAGAGGAAGTGGAGGCCTGTGTATTTATGGGCCGGGTAACCCTTCCCACAACTTCATATTCTGCCTACGGCTCAGCCTTCCCATATATATTCTGCTTACTATCTGTAGAAATTAGTGATATACCAAAAAAACAACAACATTGCTTCTGAAACAGAACTTGAACTTGAAGATGAAATTTGCAATGAAATTGTAGATCATCTGTGCAATTTATACACCTTTATTAATCAGTATTTTCCATTATTGAATGAAAAAAATAAAGGCTGTGTTCGAAATCCATTCATAGAAAACAAATCAGACAATTTTTTTTGAGAATCTGATCAATATAACTTCTGAATTTCAAGACATTTTTCTTGTTGCTTTTTGGGGAGATTCACACGAAGGATACCCAGAATTGATGCAGCTGGCAAGTTCTGTTGCCGTTCACCAGCATTAACTTGTGTGAAATTAGATTCCTGTTTTACTCTGCAACAAAAAGGTAGTATCAAAACCGACCTGATGCAACTGCAGAAATTTGAATACAATTGTCAATAATTAAACCAGATGCAAGAAGAATTTGCCAAAATTAATTGCTCCTTAAAAGGTTAGTGCTGCAGCACATATTTTTCTATTTTGGTTTCCACGATGTTGGTACACTATGTCAAAGGTTTCAAATGGAAAAATTAATTGGAAACCCCTGGCCTAAAGAACCGGCATATTCTATAAAGGGAGCTCACTGCCCTAAGCCAATTAAAATACAGGTAACTATGTGAAAAAATATCTATGTTGCTCTAACTAGTTTTAACAGGAATAATTTATTTAACCCTTATGCTACCTAGCTCCAGCAGCACTGCATAAAATGCTTGTGGGCCTATAGAATTATATTGTCAAGACTGCAATTTCTGTAAGACTGATCTGAATCTGATACTAATTGAGCTATGACACTGTCCGCCTAATCTGGGTGGTGGGCAGAAACTAACATATGCTTCATTATAAATACATACCGCTATTGCAAGTATACTGACTGCATGTGAGTGACGCTTGTAGTTGTAGTACTATGGAGCAGATACAAAATTCTAGACACTCCTCACCCTCAGGCTGCTTTCTACAGTCCTGATCAACCTGCACTGCAGAGTCTCAGTCTCTTTAGAGTACCAGTCTGAGAGCCCAAGCACGTTCTATGGATGGGTTCTATAGAATCTGGGGAATAAGAACCTGGAATACTGTTAGGATTTAGAATGACGGAAGAGAATACTGAGAGCGATGGGGACCGTCAGCCCCTGGAAGAGAGCTCGCTTCTCAGGGGTAAGTCCAGCTGGATCCCCCGGTGTCTCCACCGAATGTTGCCTCCTGGCTTTCTGGATGAAATGAAGGAGCAGTGCGCGCTGGCTGGACCTGTGGTAAGTAGGAAAATAATTCCATATATGGTAATATACAGGTTAAATGCAAACAATGGCAAGATCGGAGCATTTTTAATTTATTGCACACTGTGACCAGCGTGCTTTATTTCCCGGAGTAACCAATAAAACGTTTCTGAAGTTTACTGTAAGAACAGTCTGCTTCCTTTACATTTCAGAAGTGTTTGATCCCTAAATTGTGCCCTGCAACCTAAGAATATTATGCTTGTGATTTGTCTTGCAGAATTTAGTACACGATTTCAAATATTGATTTACTTTTAACCCCTTGAGGACACATGACATGTGTGACACGTCACGATTCCCTTTTATTCCAGAAGTTTGGTCCTTAAGGGGTTAAACATATCATACCAAAATTATTATTTTTATTATCATTATTTTAGCATACATTTAGCAGATCAGTTTCCAATTCACTGCAGATTGCTAATTACTTAGTGAATAAACCACTTTGTGCCATGTATGTGCAAATACAGACATGAAAAATCTGGTGTCCTTCGTATACACAGTGGTTGTATAATGCAGGGCTCAGCTGCCCACACTGTGTCCCATTTAAGTCTTCTTTGCCCATGTGTGCCCATTGTACTTCTTCACAATGTGGTTGAGGATGAAAATTGTAAGTGATGTTTATTACTAGATCAAAAACATTTCAATAATTTATGACATTGGTATTATATGTTTTAATGTATTAAAAAAAATAATAATGTTTACTTACCTTTTAGTTTCTTTGATTAGAAATGCCAATTTTTGTGCTAACTTGTGTGTCTGCATATGACTGTCTCTGTGCATGTAGCAAAGAATATTTGTGAGTGTGTAAAAGTTTATGTGGGAGAGTGTGTATATTGCATGTCTGCAAGTGTGTATTGGGACCCTGCAAAATGGTTTTCTAACACTGACAGTGAATGTCATGCTTATACTGCTGTTTAAACAACTGTCAGTGATGCCCATGAAAAAATGTAGGCAACCAAAGTAACTTAACACCATCAGCATGCCTCTAGCTTAAATTTGTGCATAACTTTAACTGAACTTTTACAGATTAATACTCTTGGAATCTAGTGCATCTGCCTCCAGTCCCATTGCGGGGATAAAAATATTCATTTTTACGTAGACATATTGTCAATTCTCTAATAAGTTTTTATAAAATGATTTCAACAGGAAGATCATATTCTTAAATCAGTACAGCATGCTAAGTGATACAAGTGGCCCTAACCCCATAGCAGTGCCAGGACAAGACAATTGAGAGGTAATTCAGCCCTCTCCCAATAGTAAAATTGTGGTAGAAGTGCTGAGGAGACAGCAAGAAAGCTCCTTTCCCTGAATATCATTATAGGAGCTAAATTAATGGCTGTTGCTGCAAATAGTTTTGTTGGTACCGAATGTCAACTTCCACCAATATCTTCCACTAATTTTAAGTAGACTATGACATATATTTACTGGCACAGATCTAAGAGTATAGGAACCACATAACTTGTGATAACCCTAGCCTTAAACATAACACAAATCATAGCTCTTATTTTAAAATTCATGTTATAGAAATGATACATAAAACTGAAAATAATAATGCAATTTCACAGTTCTGGTTTCATTTATAAATCACTCAAACGGTGATCTCATTGTTTATTATGATGCCTTCAGAACCACTTGAAATTATTTTGGAATAATACATGCCTCAGGGTATGTATTCTCTCATTGACCCAATAGATAAAGTCTACCTCTTGCAAAGTGTTGGTTGCTTATACACCAATTCTTGTACTTCTGTTGCTATTGCATATGAAATAACGTGTGTGTTTCTGTGCATGGATTTTGCGGTGAGAACCGTGACAATACCAACCCAAGGTTAGGAAGACCAAGAAAGATTTCAGCCACAAATGCCAGAAGAATTGTTTGGAATACAAAGAAAAACCCACCCAAAGGTAACCTCAGGAGAAATACAGGCTGCTCTGGAAAAAGACGATGTGGTTGTTTCAAGGAGCACCATATGACGATACTTGAACAAAAATGATCGGCATGGTTGTGTTGCCAGAAAGAAGCCTTTACTGTGCAATGCCACAAAAAAAGCCTGGTTACAATATGCCCAACGACACCTTGACATGCCTCACAGCTTCTGGCACACTGTAATTTGGAGTGACAAGCCCAAAATAGAGCTTTATGGTCATAACCATAAGCGCTATATTTGGAGTGGGATCAACAAGGCCTATAGTGAAAAGAATTCCATCTACACTGTGAAGCAAACTGGTGGCTCACTGATGTTTTGGTGGCATGTGAACTCTAAAGGCATGGGGAATCTTGTGACAAATGATGACAAGATGAATGCAGCATGTTATCAGAAAATACTGGAAGACAATTTGCATTCTTCTGCACGAAGGCTGCACATAGGATGCTCTTGAATTTTCAAGTATGACAATGACCTTAAGCACAAGGCCAAGTTGACCCTCTAGTGGTTACAGCAGAAAAGGTTGAAGGTTCTGGAGTGGCCATTACAGTCTCCTGACCTTAATATCATCGAGCCACTCTGGAGAAATCTCAAACATGCAGTTAATGCAAGACGACCCAGGACTTTGCATGACCTGGAGGCATTTTACCAAGATGAATGGGCAGCTATACCACCTTCAAGGATTAAGGGCCTCATAGACAACTATTATAAAAGACTGCACGCTGTCATTGATGCTAAAGGGGGCAATACACAATATCAAGAACTAAGGGTTTGCAGACTTTTAAAAAGCGGTCATTTCATTTTTTAATTTGTTGCCATGTTTTGCTTTGTGATGGTGCCATTCTGTTATTACCTACAGTTGAATATGAATCCCATAAGAAATAAAAGAAATGTGTTTTGCCTGCTCACTCATGTTTTCTTTAAAAATGGTACCTATATTACCAATTCTCCAAGGGTATGCAAACTTTTGAGCTCAGTTGTATGTATATTGGAAGGGTTAAAGGTATTCTAGTGATAAAAAGTAAGATTAAATATTTGGCATTGCATTTCTTGAAAAGCCAAGTTGGATTTTTTTCCATCTTGAGTATAATTATCCAAATTTTGCAGTTTATATATAAATGTTTTAAATACAGATTGAATACATGGCAATCCAGAAATAGATTTCTTATCCCTTTTGTATAATTATTATAACTTCCTTTGCATTCTAAGCTAATTCTTCAGATCTAACAAAATGAAGAGGGATAATAAATAGGAGATCTAAAATGTGAATGGAGAGAATGAAAAGCAGAGGTAAAATTTAAATATAGAAAAAAAAGTTGGATTTGGTTGAAAGAGAGATGAGGGAGAATAAAAGAAATATGAAATTAGGTAGAAAAACTATCTCTCCCCTTCCCTAATATTGATCTCCAACCCCCAATTATCTAATTCCATCCCCCATTGTGTTCCCCCAGCTATCCAATATTACTTTCCCATTCCCACTATTATTTCCCTCAGCACCCACAGTTATCTCTGTATTTCATGAATCATGGCTGAGCTGTCAGCTCATATCTTTTATCAGCAGTCTAACCACCTGGGACAGGCGTCAGAGAGAAATGGATACAGAAACTGCATCCATCAGCTCATAAGTCTTAGCATACACAGGAAGGAGACAGACTGACAGTTCACCTACATTGCAGCATAGATTGGTGGCAAGATTTAGTATAGAAATGGTTAACTTATTACTGATTGCTTGTGAACTCTGCAACTGGCCCACCCATCTTCTAGTAGGTTGTGGGCTTGATTCATATGGTCTTTAGAAAACATGCGGGCTTTCTGTTTGAATAATCCAAATACAGAGGGTCTAAGGGGCAGATGCTAGAGAATATAGAACCCTGGGAAATTATTAATTTTCCCTTCAGTGAACATGCTCCTAGCAATTAGGGTTGGGAAATACAGTCTTGATAACTGGAGATGAAATGAAAGTTAAAATTAAGAGTGGCAATTAAAAAAAACTGAAGGATGGCAAGATGGAATTGGGGAATAAATGAATGATGTAAGCTATATAAGTAATTGTTAATATTGTATCTATCTGTGATATATACGATGAAAGTAGATAATTGTGTGTGTGTGTGTGTGTATAGGTGTGAGTAGAGTAAAATCTTATCAGGAAAAGAGTGTTTGTATGTGGAAAGTACATCTGATATGCATATTGTCTTATGTGGCATCTGCAGGAAGAATGCCTTTGTTGGTATCAAAGATTAATCTGTTAACTAGTTTGGAAAACAAGCTTATGGGAGTGCAGAGTGCAGTAAAATGGCTGGGTTTGAGTATATGGTAGGGTATAAAGGTTAAGATGCTGATGAGAGTTTTGCATACATGGTAGAACATTCTGTTATTCTGGAACCAATACAAAATCATATAATCTTGTATTTTCTTGTTTTAGTTCCTGGGTCAAACATTGGTATTTTTTGTGAGTATTGTAAGCTCCATGTTCTGCGGACATTTGGGCAAGATTGAGTTGGATTCAGTTACACTTGCTGTTGCTGTAAGTATCTATTTCAGCTAAGATTCTGAATTTACAAGATGGGTCTAAATCAAGCATGTAAAACTCAAAAGCTCGCACGCGCCACATAAACAAGTTTTAAGTTTATGTGGGCCGCAAAAAAACCAAAACCTTACATATTCATCAAAGCATAGGTTTGTTTTGAAAAGTACAGTATAAAAAAACAGCATCCTCCTCTACTAAACCCCAGTCCCCCCCTCTGTACTAAATCTCAGTTTCCCCTCCTCTGTACTAAATCCCAGTCCCCCATCTGTACTAATTCACAGTCCCCCCCTCTATATTAAATTCCAGTCCACCCTCTATACTAAATCCTAGCACCCTCCTCTATACTAAATCCTAGCACCCTCCTCTTTACTAAATTCCAGCACCCCCCTCTACTAAACCCCAGCACTTGTTTAAAAAAAAACAAAAAAACAATATTAGCCAACAAGCAGACTTCACTCACATTGCCGCTGCCAATATGCGACTCCGGAGTCCAGCCTCTGGTACATCCCCAATGACACCGTCCACATCCTGTGCCAAACGGATCTTCCCCTACTCCTTGAAAACCTGTGAAGGGGGAGCATGTTAACGTCACGTCAGAATGTAACATGGCGTTGCCTGCCTCTGTGCACCTCCAGGTCCTCCACTGTCCAGCAGCGGCCATCGCAACACTGACCAACACACACTGACACATACAGACACAGACACACACACTCTGACAGACACACACAGACACACTCACAGACACACACACACTCTGACAGACACACACAGACACACTCACAGACACACACACACACTCACAGACACACATTGACAGACAGACACACACACATTGAAAGACACACACACTGACAGACACACACACAGACACACACACACACATCTACACATTCTTGCACACGCTCACATCATTTTATTAATTGCTCCCTACCTTTGGGAGCTGGTGTGAGGCCTCTGCCTGATCTTCTCTTAGGAACTCAGTCTCCCTGCTCCCTTACACACACAGTTTAGTGATGCTGAGACGGAATTACATCATCACTACAGACGGTGTGTGCAAGGGAGAAGTGAGGAGCAGGAATACTGAGCTCCCTCGCTGCCACCTGGGACCTCTTCTCCCTGGCTGGGTAATTTTGGCAGAGTAGGCACCTGCAATGTGGAGTGAGCAGGTGTCTACTCTGCTTTAGTAAGCATGGCAAACCCACGGCTCGCTGGGCTGCAAAAATATTCATTGTGGATCGCATGCTTTGTCTAGATAGATCAATTGACAGACAGATTGATAGACAGGCAAGGCAAAATATTTAGTCTGCAATCATCTCACTTAACCACCTGCTGGCACTCATCTGCTCATCATCTGATTTTTGCCATGTGAAACACATTTCCCAAAATACTGGGTCTCTCGATCTCTGTAGAGGGAATGTAATTGGTGGCTTCCTATATTCTCTTAAACTCTACAGCAACATTTGCAATTCAAACTGCAGTGCTATCAATTTACATTAACCCCTTAAGGACGCAGCTTCAGAAGCTGGACATACCCTTAAGGACTCAAGCTATTTTTGCATTTTTTGCTGTTTGTGTTCAACTGCAATTTGCATCGCTCTCATTTATTGAATCAACACATATTATATATCGTTTTTTAAAGGACAAGATGGGCTTTACTTTGATGTGACTTACACATATATAAAATCTAATTTATTATTAAAAAAAAGAAAAAAAAGAAAAAAAAAAGAAAAAATATATATATTTTTCACAGTTTTGGCAATAATAGTTTGTGTATAATATGTCCAGCTTAGGAAAAGTAATTCAAAATAAATTCATTTAGGTTTCTTGTTTTTCAAAGTGCATAATATGTAAAGGATTTCAGCTTATTTTAAAAGTTACAGGTCACAAAATACAAGGAGTAATATAAAATTTAAATGTGAAAATTTTTTAGAAGTTGGTATGTTTGACTTGTAAGTTTGACAGCTGTCACAGAAAACAAAATTGCTACACAAAAGTATATATTTAAATAAAGAAGACATCACAGGCTATTTATTTAAGGGTATTTTGACACTTTTTACATAGCCTTTTTCCCACCAATCTCTGCTACATATTGTAGTAAAATTGTGTTTTTTCTGTTTTTTGAAATACACACATGTAACAAGGTTTTTTAAATGTGTATTTTGTAAAGCTGCTGTGTGCTATTCCTGGTCAAAATCCCATTTTGTGTTCAGCAACATCTGCTGAGTACAACAATACCCCCATTGTATGTCTTTGCCACTATTTTGGGAAGCTACAATGAAATATAAGAGGCCAGACTATTTCAGTTTCTACAGTTAGAAAATTCAAAGATGGATTTAATGGACCTATGTCTTATTTTGGGGCATTATAGTAGTTTGGTTGTTCAAATGACCACACAAAGGCCTTCCATTCGTGAAAGTAGACACTCCATGGTATCTCATATGGCATATATTTTGCCTTAACGGTTCACCATTTATTCACCATTATATGTCAAAATTTGTGTTAAAAAATATTTTCCGCATTTTTCCTTAAGCATTACATTTGTGCTGGGCATTTTGTATATTTGATATGTTCCACTATGGTCAAACACCCCTAATTATGCTCAGCTTAATCTTCTGAGTAAAACAATACCCCCAATGTATGTCTTTGACACTATTTGGTGACGCTACAGTGCCATAAAGGAGACCTGACCATTTCAGTTTTTAGAGTAGAATTTTCAGAGACGAATTTGCAGGGCTTATGTTTCAATTTGGGCCATTATAGCAGTTTGACTGTTTCAATAACGCAAAAAGGCCTACCATTTGTAAAAGTAGACACTCCAGGGTATCTCATGTGGCATATATTGTGCCTTAACATGTCGTCATTTTTTCGCCATTATATGTCAAAGTTTGTGGTAAAAAAATATTTTTCGCATTTTTTCCTTAAGCATTACATTTGTGCTGGGCATTTTGTATATTTGATATGTTCCACTATGGTCAAACACCCCTAATTATGCTCAGCTAAGTCTTCTGAGTAAAACAATACCCCCAATGTATGTCTTTGACACTATTTGGTGTCACTACAGTGCCATAAAGGAGACCTGACCATTTCAGTTTTTAGAGTAGAATTTTGAGAGACGGATTTGCAGGGCTTATGTTTCAGTTTGGGCCATCATAGCAGTTTGACTGTTTCAAAAACCGCAAAAAGGCCTACCATTTGTGAAAGTAGACACTCCAGGGTATCTCATATGGCATATATTGTGCCTTTACATGTCGCCATTTTTTCGCCATTATATGTCAACGTTTGTGGTAAAAAAATATTTTTTGCATTTTTTCCTTAAGCATTACATTTGTGCTGAGCATTTTGTATATTTGATATGTTCCACTATGATCAAACACCCCTAATTATGCTCAGCTAAGTCTTCTGAGTAAAACAATACCCCCAATGTATGTCTTTGACACTATTTGGTGACGCTACAGTGCCATAAAGGAGACATGACCATTTCAGTTTTTAGAGTAGAATTTTGAGAGACGGATTTGCAGGGCTTATGTTTCAGTTTGGGCCATTATAGCAGTTTGACAGTTTCAAAAACCGCAAAAAGGCCTACCATTTGTGAAAGTAGACACTCCAGGGTATCTCATATGGCATATATTGTGCCTTAATATGTCGCCATTTTTTCGCCATTATATGTCAAAGTTTGTGGTAAAAAAATATTTTCAAATTTTTTCCTTAAGCATTACATTTGTGCTGGGCATTTTGTATATTTGATATGTTCCACTATGATCAAACACCCCTAATTATGCTCAGCTAAGTCTTCTGAGTAAAACAATACCCCCAATGTATGTCTTTGACACTATTTGGTGACACTACAGTGCCATAAAGGAGACATGACCATTTCAGTTTTTAGAGTAGAATTTTGAGAGACGGATTTGCAGGGCTTATGTTTCAGTTTGGGCCATCATAGCAGTTTGACTGTTTCAAAAACCGCAAAAAGGCCTACCATTTGTGAAAGTAGACACTCCAGGGTATCTCATATGGCATATATTGTGCCTTAACATGTCGCCATTTTTTCGCCATTATATGTCAAAGTTTGTGGTAAAAAAATATTTTTTGCAGTTTTTCCTTAAGCATTACATTTGTGCTGGGCATTTTGTATATTTGATATGTTCCACTATGATCAAACACCCCTAATTATGCTCAGCTAAGTCTTCTGAGTAAAACAATACCCCCAATGTATGTCTTTGACACTATTTGGTGATGCTACAGTGCCATAAAGGAGACCTGACCATTTCAGTTTTTAGAGTAGAATTTTGAGAGACGGATTTGCAGGGTTTATGTTTCAATTTGGGCCATTATAGCAGTTTGACTGTTTCAAAAACCGCAAAAAGGCCTACCATTTGTGAAAGTAGACATTCCAGAGTATCTCACATGGCATATATTGTGCCTTAACATGTCGCCATTTTTTCACCATGATATGTCAAAGGTTGTGGTAAAAAAATATTTTTTGCATTTTTAACTTATGCGTTACATTTGTGCTGGGCATTTTGTATATTTGATATGTTCCAATATGATCAAACACCCCTAATTATGCTGAGCTATCTCCTGTGAGAAAAACGATACCCCCAATGTATGCCTTTAGTCGTATTTCCTGATGCTACACTTCCATATAGGAGACCTGACCATTTCAGTTTTTACAGAATTTTATAGGTTTATGACTCATTTTGGGTTCTAATAGCAGGTTGCTTATTCAAACTTTCCCCACAAAGGCCTACCATTTTTTAAAGTAGACACCCCAGGGTATTTCAAAAGGCCCATTTTGAACCTTAGGGTGGAATCATTTTTTCGCTAGTGAGTACCAAGTCTAGTAGTAGTAAGCATTTTCTCTGCCTTTTTGACACACACACTGAGATTTTACTGCATAGTTTACAATCCTTAGGTGTGCTACGGCAGTATAACGCTTCATATGTCACTCAGCTATGTCGTCTGAGTACAGCAATACCCCTGTGTGTACCTTTCCCAGGTATATGTGGATGTTGGAGGGGCAAATTTGAGACTCGGCAATTTCAGGTCTGTTTCAAACTTTGAATTTTTACGCTGGGTCCATGTCCCATTTTGGGGCATTTGACAGGTTGAGAATTCAAACTTCCCCCACAAAGGCCTACCATTTTTTAAAGAAGACACCCCAGGGTATTTCAAAAGGCCCATTTTGAACCTTAGGGTGGGATCATTTTTTCGCTAGTGAGTACCAAGTCTAGTAGTAGTAAGCATTTTCTCTGCCTTTTTGACACATACTTTGAGATTTTACTGCATAGTTTACAATCCTTAGGTGTGCTACGGCAGTATAACGCTTCATATGTCACTCAGCTATGTCGTCTGAGTACAGCAATACCCCTGTGTGTACCTTTCCCAGGTATATGTGGATGTTGGAGGGGCAAATTTGAGACTCGGCAATTTCAGGTCTGTTTCAAACTTTGAATTTTTACGCTGGGTCCATGTCCCATTTTGGGGCATTTGACAGGTTGAGAATTCAAACTTCCCCCACAAAGGCCTACCATTTTTTAAAGAAGACACCCCAGGGTATTTCAAAAGGCCCATTTTGAACCTTAGGGTGGGATCATTTTTTCGCTAGTGAGTACCAAGTCTAGTAGTAGTAAGCATTTTCTCTGCCTTTTTGACACATACTTTGAGATTTTACTGCATAGTTTACAATCCTTAGGTGTGCTACGGCAGTATAACGCTTCATATGTCACTCAGCTATGTCGTCTGAGTACAGCAATACCCCTGTGTGTACCTTTCCCAGGTATATGTGGATGTTGGAGGGGCAAATTTGAGACTCGGCAATTTCAGGTCTGTTTCAAACTTTGAATTTTTACGCTGGGTCCATGTCCCATTTTGGGGCATTTGACAGGTTGAGAATTCAAACTTCCCCCACAAAGGCCTACCATTTTTTAAAGAAGACACCCCAGGGTATTTCAAAAGGCCCATTTTGAACCTTAGGGTGGGATCATTTTTTCGCTAGTGAGTACCAAGTCTAGTAGTAGTAAGCATTTTCTCTGCCTTTTTGACACATACTTTGAGATTTTACTGCATAGTTTACAATCCTTAGGTGTGCTACGGCAGTATAACGCTTCATATGTCACTCAGCTATGTCGTCTGAGTACAGCAATACCCCTGTGTGTACCTTTCTCAGGTATATGTGGATGTTGAAGGGGCAAATTTGAGACTCGGCCATTTCAGGTTTGTTTCAAACTTTGAATTTGCATGCTGGGTCCATGTCCCATTTTGGGTCAAACTCTGAGGCACTGTCTGTCACCTCTGAATCCGCTGTCAGAATTCTCTAACTGTACTTCCAAAGCATTTTAAACTTTTTACACAAGAACTTTAACAAAACAATGTTATTTTATTTTTTTGTTGTTTTTTTTAATTTGTATTTCTACCCCTAGCATACGCACTAAACTCCCCAATTTCCTAGGAACTATCATCCACCCAAATTAACTAAATAAAAGGTAAAAAAAAAATTGTATTGAGAATTTATTGGCTCTGAGTATGAAATAATTTAAAACAGTTCCCAATACAAAGGCCAGGCTGAGAGGGACAATCAGGGCAGTAGAAACTGGTCTCCGTTCGAATGCCTCTCTGGTAACACAGCCTGCACCTTTTCTGGGGGGTCTTTTTTTGGGGGGTTGGTGGTATCCGAAAGCAGAAGTGACCTGTCTGAATATCTCTGCTGCTAGGCCCTGCTGATGGCTCCCCACTGTGGCACTCAGTGAGCAGCACAGAAATGAGCTGAAACTGAAATGTAAGAAAAGTACATTTCAGCTGAGGATTTGCCTTTTTGAAAAGGATGAATGCATTGTGAGTAGCCATTTGCATTAAATAAATGCCCACTTTCTTATACCAGGCCCTGGTCTTTCTCATTATCAGATATGGCTGCAGCAGTTGATCAGACAGGTCAACTCCCCCCATGTGTTTATTGTATTGCTTAATGCAGACAGGCAGCCGTCTTGTTTCCTGTCTGCCACGAACTGCGACCCTGCGTGTGTGTTCACTGTGCATGGTAGTCAGTATGAATACCTCCTTTTTGTCTCTGTATTTCAGAGCCAGCAGTTCGTCCTGGCGTAGAGCAGCCGTTTCCCCCTTTTTAATTTTTTTCTCTGCCAGAGCCTTGGGGAAGCCAGTGCGTGTCTTGCGGATAGTGCCGCAGACCACAGTCTCAAAACAATATAGCATTTTTTTGGAGGGGTATGCTATTGTAGTAATTATCAAGGTAGAGGTGGTACCCCTTGTTCAGTAGCGGGTTCATTAGATCCCAAACTATTTTTCCGCTAGTCCCAACTACATCAGGGCAACCTGGGGGATCCCGGTGGCTATCTTTACCTTCATATATTCTGAAGGTATAAACATACCCACTGCTACTTTCACATAACTTGTATAGCTTGATGCCATACCGGGATCTTTTGGCTGGGATGTATTGCTTAAACCCCAGTCTACCCTTGTATTTCATTAGGGACTCGTCAATACATATATTCTTTTGGGGAGTATAAATTATGCCAAATTCTTTATTAAAATGGTTAATTAGGGGGCGGATTTTATAGAGTTTGTCATACTGCGGATGATCTTTGGGGTGGCACTTCGAATTATCATTGAAGTGCAGAAAACGCAGTACTGTTTCGTATCTGGGCCTACTCATGGTCTGAGAGAAAATGGGAGTATTGCATACTGGGTTTTTGGACCAGTACATTCGGATGCTGGGCTTTTTTATAATTCCCATTAGCATGGTTAGTGCCCAGAACTGTTTTAACTCTGGCACACTGGTGGGGTACCAGCTCCCTTTTGTGGCAAGGTGACTTGTTGCATTTTGTGCCAGATACTGCATAAATATTTGCTTGTGTAGCTATCTGCCCTAAAAAATCATCCCCAAGGAACAGCTCCATAAAATCCTGGGAGTTATAGCTGGTCACGTCTCCCTGAATACCAGGAGTCGCAGTGAACAGAGGGATGTCGGGGACAAAATTGTTAGGGGGCACCCAGATATCAGCGCCAGGAGCAGTGCCAGGGGTATCGTCACTTTCTTCATCTGTGTCTGGCACATAGTCACCCTCTGCACTCTCTGAGGCAGTGTCGGTTGCCTCTGAGTCGGCTGCTAATATATTATATGCCTCCTCGGCACTAAACTTTCTAAGCATGGTGAAAGCTTAAAATTAACTTTAACTAAATAACGTATTTTTTTGTTTTGTTTTTTTAACTTTTTTTATACTTTTTTTTGTTTTCTGAATTTTTTTAATACTTTTTAAAATTTTTTTAAAACTCTTAAAAACTTTCTAAAACTTCTAAAAACTTTTTTAAAAATGAACCCCTGTGGGTAAAAACAGGAATCAGATCACCGTGCTTACACCTAGCGAAGCAGAAATGCTTTGACTTAAAATAAACTACTTTTTTTTTCTTTTTTTTCCTTTTTTCACTTTTTTTTATACTTTTATAAACTTTTAATAACTTTTATAAACTTTTAATAACTTTCTAAAACTTTTCAGCTTCCTAGCTACACTAATGCTAGATTCCCCAATTCCCCCTAGCTTCAATCCACCCCAGCTAACTAATTAACTGAAAATAAAAGTAAAAAAAAAAAAATTAAATATATTTAACCCCTGAGGGTTAAAAAGAAAATAAAGTTAACCCCTGAGGGTTAAAAAAAAACTCTGATCTCAGTAAAGTACTGTGATCAGTATTGTGATCACTGCTGCCAGTGATCAAAGGGTTAAACTTTTAAAGTTAAAGGGGGTAAAAGGTTTTTTTTAAACTTTTAAACACTTTGTGTCTGTCAGGGACACAAAGTTTCAAACGATCCGTCTCTCTCCACTTCTAATCACACACAGAGGTGGAGGGAGGAGGATCAGAATTCCCAGCAGCACTGTGATCGCTGTGACTGGCTGTCACAGCGATCACATGTGCTGGGACAGCACTATTGGCTGTTGCTGGGGTTCCTCAAACGCCGAGGCACCCAGCAACAGCGTTAACCCCACGATCGCCACGATCGCGGCGATCTGGCATTAACTTTAGTAATTGACGGAAATTTTCCGTCAAGCGTCCTTAAGGGTAGGTCTGCCTTGACGGAAAATTTCCGTCCAGCCTCGTTAAGGGGTTAAACACTTTCGATTTCCAAACATGTTTAAAGCAATACTGTTATGTTTCTGCATTCCAGCAGTGAGGGTGACTCTGCGTACACTAATTAAAATACATGGTTAATCTATATACTACAATAACCTGCAGTGCCTTCTATAGTAAAGATAGTGCTACTGCTGGTTATGGTGCCAGGAGTTCCTTGGTGCCCTTCCAGTGTTATAGTAAGCTGTCAAACCATTTTAGAACAGTTTGAGAATTTACTTGGGTTATCTGGACTCCCCTACTGCATGTGGTCTTCACTATGGAGGTCCGAGACAGCACCATGCCTATTGACTAAGAATGCTTAACCAAGACTCTCAGACAATGAGTATGGCTGTTCACGACTGTTCATCAGTAGAGTAGGTCAGTAGAGTTGCATAGAGAATCTGAAAGAATGGGCCATCATAAAACAGTTTGAAAAATAACTCTAGGTGAGCGCCAGATCACTCCCCGGACCATAAGCACTACTGCAGGATTTAATGGGTATGGTTGTATTCCTTTAATATACTTAAAGTGTATATTATCTTGCTTACAAACAGTGTTTTTTGTAAACTATGTTCGAAAGTATACTATTGGGTTCCTTAGATATACCTGTAAGCAAGGCACTTCTACACTTTTAATGATCATATTCCTCCTGTAAAATAAATGTTGCCAGAGATTGTTTAAAATAGAATTAGAATTTGGAATGTTTCTGTTAAAGATGAATGAATAAATACAAAAATGTGTACATTGAGATCATTTTATATTTTCAGGTGTTCCTGACCAGCAATAATTTTATTTTTTAAATGAACAGAAGGTGGTAGAGAAAATGTTCTCAAATTACATGCATGTTACTTTTTTATATAGTTTAATATAATTTAGACATTTAATTTAGTAACGTTTTGCTATGTTGAAATCAATAGTGTTGAGAGGGCGTGGCCTGCCGAGGAGCTGAATGGACATGCACTAGCTCAGGTCTTTAACTTAATCGGAGATACCAAGAGAAAATGGGGAACCCCAAAAGGCAAAATAATTCTCACAACGCATCGGGGAAAACTCCTACACACAAATCGGGCTCCTTATCTAAATTTCCTAAGGACACTGAGACCTGCGAGGGAGATGACTAACGCTCCGGCGGATTCCTCCCCCTAGCCCTGCACAGTCTGATGGTTCCTTCACATCGCAAGAACCTGACATAAGAGAAATACTCAGACAGCTACTCTTGAAGGCTGACCTGGCCACTATGCTGGGTAAGCTGGAATCAACATTTCAAGTGAAACTGGATACGCTGGGCTCAGACATCCACCAAATAGGCCGCAGATTAAAAGAACTAGAAGAAGAGAGGGACGTGACCCATTCCTAGATTCTACAATTATCCTTGATGCTTGAGACACACTCGCTGTTCCTGACATCTATCCTACGCTCCATGGACAACCTCGATAATAGAGGTCGCCGGAATAACCTCCGGATATGCGGATTGCCTGAAACAAAATATGAGGACCTATTTGCAACTCTCATGGAACTCTTCAACATACTACTAGGAGAACCCAGCGATACTCTGATCGCCTTTGACAGGGCTCACAGATTTCCTAGACCATGGAGTTCGGCTACAGAAGCACCATAGACGTAATCTGTCGCGTTCACTACTTCACAGTAAAGGATCATATACTGCAAGTTCTGAGAGCCACAACACCCCCTCGCTATTCCACAGCAACACAATACAAATATATCCAGACCTATCCTGGCTCACACTCCAAGCCAGAAGAGCACTTAAAGCCATCAATGAACACATCCGAAACCGCAATTTGAAATATAAATGGGGCTTTCCTTTCGAACTCATTGTTAACCACAAGGGCAATACTCACAAGTTACAAACTTTTGACTTCTACAGCGCATACAGTGAGTTAAAAAAGTATTTGATCCCCTGCTGATTTTGAACATTTTCCCAATGACAAAGAAATGATCAGTCTATAATGTTAAGGTAGGTGTATTTTAACAGTGAGAGACAGAATAAAAGAAAAAAAAAGAGAGAAAAATGCATGTCAAAAAATACGTATTTGACCCCTTCGACTTAGTACTTGGTGGAAAAACACCAAGCTGAAGGTTCAAGTTGCCTATGTTGACAATCACAGAGGTCAGACGTTTCTTGTCGTTGGCCACCAGGTTTGCACACATCTCAGGAGGGATTTTGTCCCACTCCTCTTTGCAGATCCTCTCCAAGTCATTAAGGTTTCGAGGCTGATGTTTGGCAACCCGAACCTTCAGCTCCCTCTACAGATTTTCTATGGGATTAAGCTCTGGAGACTGGCTGGGCCACTCCAGGACCTTAATGTGCTTCTTATTGAGCCATTCATTTGTTGTCTTGTTTGTGTGTTTTGGGTAATTGTCATGCTGGAATACCCATCCACGACTCATTTCCAATGCCCTGACTGAGAGGAGGTTCTTACCTAAGATTTGACGGTACATGGCCCCGTCCATCATACCTTTGATGTGGTGCAGTTGTCCTGTCCCCTTAGCAGAAAAACACCCCCAAAGCATAATGTTTCCACTGCATTCCTCTTCCTCCAAACACGGTTGTTGAGCTGATGCCAAAGAGCTCAGTTTTGGTCTCATTTGACCTTAACACTTTCACCCAGTTCTCCTCTGAATCATTCAGATGTTCATTGGCAAACTTCAGACGGCCTGTACATGTGCTGGCTTGAGCAGGCGGACCTTTGTGGGCACTGTAGGATTTCAGTCCTTCACGGCGTAGTGTGTTACCAATGGATTTCTTGATGGCTATGGTCCCAGCTGCCTTGAGATCATTCACAAGATTTTGTGCATTGTACGCTTCCTAGACCTGAGGACTGTGAACAAGCTGACCCGATCCTGGGCATCCTTTTCCCTCCCTACTTTGAGTAACACCTATCACCAAGTCATGATTCTACCTATCCTTTGACCAAGCAGGGATAGAACTGAACACATATAAATAATGCCTTCACTTGTACGGCCACAGCTGAATTGCCAGATCAAGAACCTCTGGGTATCTAACAACACTCTTCAGGTCGTATGATTTGAAGTGATGCTTTGATTTTTATATTAATTTTCATGGATATATGTATGCCTACCATACATTAACCTGCCGGACCTTGATTGCAGTAATATAGGCTGCGATTGGTGGGAACTCACTAATGACCAAGTAGAGATTACCCTCTCCCCCCAGGATCACAGGGAAAGACGAATACACCTGGAGACACTACTACACACAGAAGAGTCTTCCCTCCGTATTCCTAGACAACGTACGCAATAGTAATATAGAATTGATAAACCCCTACCCCACCACCCACACACATGTGGACGTGATAGCCCTTATAATTTCACTAACAAAATCATATCTACAGTTGCAATAAAAAGTATGTGAACCCTTTGGAATGATATGGATTTCTGCACAAATTGGTCCTAAAATGTGATCTGATCATCATCTAAGTCACAACAATAGACAATCACAGTCTGCTTAAACTAATAACACACAAAGAATGAAATGTTGCCAAGTTTTTATTGAACACACCATGTAAACATTCACAGTGCAGGTGGAAAAAGTATGTGAACCTCTAGACTAATGACATCTCCAAGAGCTAATTGGAGTGAGATGTCAGCCAACTGGAGTCCAATCAATGAGATGAGATTTGAGGTGTTGGTTACAGCTGCCCTGCCCTATCAAAAACACACCCCAGTTCTGTTTTGCTTTTCACAAGAAGCATTGCCTGATGTGAATGATGCCTCGCACAAAAGAGCTCTCAGAAGACCTATGATTAAGAATTGTTGACTTGCATAAAGCTGGAAAGGGTTATAAAAGTATCTCCAAAAGCCTTGCTGTTCATCAGTCCACAGTATGACAAATTGTCTATAAATGGAGAACATTCAGCACTCCTGCTACTCTCCCTAGGAGTGGCCGTCCTGTAAAGATGACTGCAAGAGCACAGCGCAGACTGCTCAATGAGGTGAAGAAGAATCCTAGAGAGTCAGCTAAAGACTTACAAAAGTCACTGGCAAATGCCAACATCCCTGTTAGCGAATCTACAATACGTAAAACACTAAAGAAGAAGGGATTTCATGGGAGGATACCACAGAGGAAGCCACTGCTGTCCAAACAAAACATTGCTGCACGTTTACAGTTTGCACAAGAGCACCTGGATGTTCCACAGCAGTACTGGCAAAATATTCTGTGGACAGATGAAACCAAAGTTGAGTTGTTTGGAAGAAACACACAACATTATGTGTGGCGAAAAAAAGGCACAGCACACCAACATCAAAATCTCATCCCAACTGTGAAGTATGGTGGTGGGGGCATCATGGTTTGCGGCTGCTTTGCTGCGTCAGGGCCTGGACGGATTGCTGTTATCGAAGGAAAAATGAATTCCCAAGTTTATGAAGACAATTTGCAGGAGAACTTAAGGCCATCTGTCTACCAGCTGAAGCTCAACAGAAGATGGGTGTTGCAACAGGACAATGACCCAAAACATAGAAGTAAATCAACAGAATGGCTTAAACAGAAGAAAATACGCTTTCTGAAGTGGCCCAGTCAGAGTCCTGACCTCAACCCGATTGAGATGCTGTGGCATGACCTCAAGAAAGTGATTCACACCAGACATCCCAAGAATATTGCTGAACTGAAACAGTTCTATAAAGAGAAATGGTCAAGAAATACTCCTGACCGTTGTGCACGTCTGATCTGCAACTACAGGAAACGTTTGGTTGAAGTTATTGCTGCACTGTGAATGTTTACATGGTGTGTTCAATAAAAACATGGCAACATTTCATTCTTTGTGTGTTATTAGTTTAAGCAGACTGTGATTGTCTATTGCTGTGGCTTAGATGATGATCAGAACACATTTTAGGACCAATCTGTCCAGAAATTCATATCATTTCAAAGTGTTCACATACTTTTTATTGCAACTGTATACTCAGGATTCACCCTGATTCGAGTATTGTTTATTACTATTTCCCTGCTTTCCAAACCAGGGAAAGACCCTACAAACTACGGTAGTTATAGATCCATTTCACAAAAAAATATAGACCTCACAATTTTCACAAAAATCCTGGTGAATAGATTGAAGACATTGCTTCTGGGACTAGTCCACCCACACCAGTTGGGCTTCATGCCAGGCTAGGAGGCCAAAAATAACACCACTAAACTCATAAATCTGATGCACTGGGTGAGGAAGACCAAGATGCCAAATGCTTTACTCGCAGTCGATGCTGAAAAGGCACTAAATAGCAACAATACAATACATGGACTTCAGTCCACACTGGACTAACTGGTTGAGGGATGTATACTCATCCCCCACTTACATATTAATGGACAACTTTCCAGTCCGGTTAAAATCCCTAATGGCACAAGTCTGGGGTACCCCCTGTCCCATCTCAAATTTATACTAGTGCTTGAACTGTTCTTGCAGGGTATCAGGGACAACCCACAAATCCAAGCCTTTCAAATGAAGGGGGAAGAGTACAAGGTCGCCACATTTGCGGATGATCTTCTATTCATAATCTCTGATTTATTAAACACATATCCTGAAGGAAATGGATACATACAACAAGATATACAATTTTAAGGCTAACCTATCCAAATGGAAATTAATGCTGCTAAACACCTCCCCAGACACCGAAACTTAATTGAAACAACACTTCCATTTTTAATGGGCAAACACAGACATCAAATATTTAGGGGTGCACTTACCCCGCAGGATTGATCGCTTGTATGAGCATAACTTCCACCCACTACTAACTGCAATTGCCAAAGACCTAAAGACATGGCACAAACCACAATTTGGCTGGTTCTGCAGACTCAACATCCTTAAAATTAATGTGCTACCCTGCATACTGTACTTCTTCAAAACAATCCCTTTAATGCTCAAGAAAGTATTCTTTAACACCGCTAGGAAAATTCTCACATTGTTCCTCTGGTCATATCAACACCCACGCCTAGCATATTCCCTTCTCACTAGACCACAAACAGAAGGGGGACTAGGAGTTGCTAGGATGTATGAGTGGACAGATGCACACTAGACCTACGAATGTGTCAGGGTTGAAGTATTTTTCTTCGAGGTCCCCATCCATACAATCACGTGGCACAAGCCTAGCCATTCGTTTGTATGGCACAAACAACACCCAACCATCTCTGCCATGCTCATAGTCTTGGAATCCATTAGACAAACTGAATACTTGCCCCCCTACCCCTCCATATGGTTGTCGGGTAAAAAGTACCAGCTCTATCACACTACACCTTCTCTCATGCTTCAAACAATCTTACAAAAGAGTGGAATTAAACTACTATCCCAAATTCTCACATCACAACCCCACATAGGCAACCAACATCTTGAATACCCACAACTGGTCCACTTTCTTCAATGCATCAAACCGAAAGCCAACAGAGATCCCACCAAATATGAACAGCTGTGCCTACAACACTGAAAAAGAAACTTCTTTCCTCCATGTATGACCTACTTTTATCGACCCAAACAAAGGTTCTCCCACACTTCACAGAGAAGTGGTCAGAAGAATTACAAACACCACACCAAGCCAGTGAAAAATGATATTCCTACGGGCACACAAGGCTTCCACGAATCTTGTCACTCAGGAAAGTAATTACAATTGCCTCACCCGCTGGCATTATACCCCAGCAAAAATTCACAAACTGCTTAATATGACAACAGATGAGTGTTGGAGATACCACCAAGCCAACGCACACACATCACACATATGGTGGCACTGCCCCACAATCCATAAATTTTGGAAACTTATACACACACTCATACAGGCAATCACTTCATCGAAAATCTTGTTCTCCCCAGACTACATCCAGTTCCTCTCACCCCACACAGACCTAAGGACACACAGGTCCAAGCTGATCATGCAGCTATTCATTGCAGCAAATCAACTAATTCTGGAAACAGGCATACATCCCCTCCCCCCCCCCTTAAGGGACTGAATACAAAGGGTAGAAAAAGTAAAACAAAATAAAGAGATCACCTACTCCATTGCAAATAATTACACGAAATTCATACAAATCTGGGGACCATGGACCCACCTTGAACTTGGATCATTACCTCTAATACCTAGTAGCCACATGATACATGACTTATTTTACCAGGTTTCTTAAGTTACCCACAGGCTTGGCACCCCTCTCTACACCAACTTTTCCCCACAGTAAATAATACCAGTATCATTCTTAGCCACTCCAACCTACTATTTCACACCTGATAGAGGTCGCACGGAAATTAATGGAAATTCATTAACGTTAAATTCATAGGCATGTCAAGGTTAGCATTAACAACACTGTTATACCTGTTACCCTACTCAGAAAAACTTGTTTAGTAGTCAGTAGATAATACTTTTTCGTTACTACACCATGGGTTGTACAATTTGCCACGTTTGCTATACATCAGAAGTATAAATTCAATGTCTTATCTAATATATAGCATGTACCACATATATTGTGCCTAGATGAACCCTGTTAGTGTATATTGTTGTTCAGATCTTGAATGAGAGATATTCTATTTCTGTAACGCAAATCAATGATATGTACAAAGAAATGTTACCTTCTTGTTACCTTCTTCATATGTCATTATATGTAATTACAAGCGAAAAACAAAATAAAAACTATATATATATATATATCTCAAATCTATTGTGTTTTTCAGTCTGGAATGCCCAGTCAATTCTAGTAATTCTTACATAATTTAGGATAAAAGTGGGATGTTGCTTGGAGTCTACATTAAAATATAATTCTTTTTTTTGGAAAGTCAAGATGTGCATGCTGAATTAGTGCATTTCAGGAGTTGTAGGAAGAAAGAATCAGATCTGTTTGTTGCAAGAGTGTGTAGATAAATAATCACATGCTGAGTAGGAATGGATAACCCCCCCAGCCTGCAAAATACCATAGGAAGCCACAGAGATTACTGGATTTCTTTCTATTTCCTTGTTTCTCAATTTGCGTTGAACATTTTACCATGGACACCGACTAATATGGTGTCCTAACCAAGAGTCAAACCTGGGTTTCCCAGTTCTAAGGCAGTGCCGTCACCACTAACCTAACAGTAAGGACAGTTTTTGGGGTAAGCTAAACATCTTACATTGGTAATTTTGTAAAACTGGCATGTAACACATTTTTGTCTTAAAATCTTTTTGTGTGCTGTGTCCTTCTTGCAGTGCAGAATTGATGATATATTCAGGTAGGTTAAATCCATTCTAAGTTAAGTTTATCAATAAACATATTATGTGGTATTAATTATCAGGGTGTGTGGCCATTCCAAAAGGCATAGATTTATTAGCAGGGTATGGAAATATGGAGCAAGCTTTAAAGCTTTGAGAAATGGTGTGGAATGTAACCTTTCTTCCCATTTTCAGGTCATTAACGTAATTGGCGTATCAGTTGGTACTGGATTGTCTGCAGCATGCGATACTCTTATATCTCAGGTATGATTACAGAGGAGCTTGATATATATTTTGTTGGTATAACTTCCTAAATATATTTTGATTTAATAGCTGTATATGAAAGATATAGCACCATCAAGCATTATTTAAATAACACAAATTATTTCACTTTTTAACCATTATACCAATGGCTCTTCATAGTTTTCTGACAGGGACCTTAGATTGGTATCTGATTTTCCAATGTTAAAATTAGATCAGATACTTATTTTTTAAAGGACAACTGTCATCACATTTTGACTTCGCATTTTTTTTTTTTAAATTATTATATTTAATAAAGGTTAATGATATTTTGTATGTTGATGTATATTGGGTTTTATTTTAAGAAAATTTTACCTTTTTATCTGGGGGAACAGCCATGTTGTGTCACACTCTATGTTATTGACCAACTGCTGCTCAACCTAAGGTGCCTGCTGCTGTGATTTCTCCTTTTCCAGCAATCCCCTTAGCTTCTAAAACAATTGTATTCTGTGTAATGGGGACTGCTTGTGGTATTTGTGTGTTGCATTTATGGTAGGGCTGTGTTTCATTCGTGGGAGGTGGCCAGGTGGCCTAGTTGATTCCCTGGTAGTTCAGTGGGCTGCTGGTGCTGCTAAACCACCAGGGAAGGATTTCTAAAGATCCACTGGCGAGGATGAACCCTAAAGGCATACCAGCAACAGCAACCTGATCTCTTAACAGAATTTCAATGCAGTTGTCATCTTGGTCAGAGTGTTCCTCAGGCCTAAACAGGCAGAGATTCAGCAGATTCTCAAGTTAGTGAGTGAATGTACAGAGTATGTGGAGCATTTGTTAATTTTTAACATGTGTTGTATTGAAAATATTGCATTTACAAATCCTACAGCTTGGAAATTACTTGCTTTGTAAGAGGTTCTTGAACTAAAAGTGTACAGCCAAGTAGAACAGACTTAATGACTCACAATATTTGATTAAACAAGAAGCACGTTGAAGATTTTGAAAAAATCTTTGGAAAATACAAAACATACAGCCAGACTTAGTAGTAAAATGCAGATATTTTTAAGTCTCCATGGATGGAGAGATGATACAATGAAACAAACAACATAAAGATATCTATAAAATGCATAGAGCTGAGTATAATACAGAGATAATCATACCACAATCAAAGCTGAGAAAAAAATAGAGATGTAATACGTTGGATGCTGGGAACAGCACAAAGATATCTATACAATACACAGCGCTGGGTAGACTACATAGATACCTATACATTAGGCAGAGCTGAATAAAATACTGAGATACAATACACAGAGGTGGTAAATTAAGGAGATACTCGTGACTATCCCACACAGCCAGGATCACAGTAATGGATTACACAGAGCTGTAATACAGAGATCCCCACACAGTACATGTCTCCGTATAATGTTACATCTCTCTCTGTCTTTCTTTCTAGCCCTCTCTTAGCGCTCTCTTTCATGATCACATCTTCAGCAGTGCTATTTTAGCTTTAGTTTTCTATTAAATATCGCTGCTATTGTGAAACATGTCAGCTGCTCAATTAGCTCTCAGCACACAGTGTGCACATGGTTAAAGCATCAAGATACTGATAGACTCCAACCATTTCAGCTACTCCTTACTCACTATTAGCTCTCAGCACACAGTGTACACCGGGTTAAAGCAGCAGGATACTGATATCCTCCTTACCTTTGCAGCAGGAAATATAATTAAAGGACCACTATAGGCACCCAGACCACTTCAGCTTAATGAAGTGGTCTGGGTGCCAGGTCCAGCTAGGGTTAACCCTTTTTTTTATAAACATAGCAGTTTCACAGAAACTGCTATGTTTATGTCAGGGTTAATCCAGCCTCTAGTGGCTGTCTCTAGTGGCGGCACCGTTAAGGCACTATAGTGCCAGGAAAATGAGTGTTTTCCTGGCACTATAGTGGTCCTTTAAACTAAAGTGGTAATGTGGAGTCAATAAGTAGCTGACATCAGTGGCGTACCTACCACGGTCGCATGGGTCACACCTGCGACCGGGCCCCTCACTGCAGGGGCCCGGCCACAGCCACAACCCCTACGACCATGGGCCGCCTAGATGCTGCTCCCTCCATGTTCCCCCTTTCATAGGGGGGCCCAAGAGGTGGCCCACTGGCCACCTAATGAACCCCCCCCCCCCGGCAGGCGGCAGAGTTCATGTCTTCTTTATGCCATTTAAAAAAGCCTATATTGGTGAAACACGTAATGGTTATTTTATATTGTGTATTTTAGATCAATTAAAGTTTTTCGGTTACTTAACTGTGCCAATTCTCTTTTTATTGCATTTCTATGCACTTTTACTATTTTTACTTTCCTGGCTTTTTACTGCTGTTCCTGAACTTAAAGAAATCTGATGTGGGGATCATACCACCTGCGGCTTATTAATAGAGCAGTGTTTCTGCTCTATGCCTGTGAGTAATATTTTATTTACTTTTACTCAGTTTTATCTAATTGAGAGCACTATTATCGCCTCTTTTTATTCCCTATTGGAGCTGTGGATGACCAGACGGTGCTGACAGACGCATTGTCCTCACATATCCCATAATCGGGGATTATACCGCTGTACGCCCCTCACCCCAGAACTGGCCATAGCTCTTTTAAATGTGAGTTCTCTACCTCCTATGACTATTTTACTCTTTGCATTTTAGACTTATTGTACTATTGGATGCCCTTGTCTCTGTTTTCCTCTCTATATATGAACACCCTGAGACTTTAGGACGCACCCACCCCCACTGAAGAGTCTACTTATCCACATTCCATCAAGCACTCTCTCTCTAGTGAGACTCTTTTGGACTAGTTTACGTTATCCTATCTCTCTACTAGCGCAGCCCTACCCCATTTTTTGTATTGTTTTATCTATTTGTTGAAGGATTTAAGGGGTCTCCTTCATTTGGGTTGCTGCCCATCCACATATTGACTGTAAATTAGCGCTGATTTCCTGTTGTATTTTGTGCATCCATTTTAATCGCTTTAGCTTGCTTATATTAGTTCGGCAAGGAGCCGCCTGATGTAGTGCGGCATTTCATCCGTGCTTACATCTGCAGGGATGCCCCTTAATTTCAAGTTGTGGCATCTTCTCTGATCCTTCAGTATCTCTACTCGGGTGTGCGTAGTTCGCTGAGCCCGTTGAATCTCCTCCAATTTATTCTCCATTGAGGTCAGCCTAGAGTCTTGAGCACTTGTTGTGGTTCCAGCAGTGTGATTCTAGTGGTTACACTTTGATGGAGGGCTTAAATTGTGAGATGTTTGCAGCTATACCTGTGCGCAGTTCCCCCAGCATAGTTTTGAGAACAGCCGCTATCACCGGCTCATGATCTTCTGCAGCGGGCGCAGGATTTCCCCCAGGCATTGTGCCATAGGCTGTGCCTGCTTCTGTGTCCTCTGTAAAATCTTCTGATGAGAAAAAGGAGCCTTCATCAGGCAGCGCCATTTTGGACCATGCAGCCTTATGCGGGTGCCGAAAGAGATTGCTGATATCCCAGCTATTCTGCGTCTTTTCTGCCCTGGATTTTTTAGTTTTGCAGTCGTTAATACTGACTCAGGGTTAAGTTCCACTCCGTCCGGGTGAATAGTATAGCAGAAATCTGCAATATTCTGTTGTTTCTCAGCGGAGCGCATTAAGCTTGAGACTGCTCTGATCCGTTGCTGGCTCCGCCCACCATATGTGTCAGCGTTTATATGCTTCAGGTGCACTACGGGAAACTGTGACCTGAACTAAGTAAAATTATAAAATTGTTAAATTATTTTCATAAAAAAAACAAAAAAACAGCTTTCACTGATTACTGTTATGCAGAACACATTTTAAAGTGGATGATGTAGTTCTATCTTGTTAATTAAGAATGCTCTACCATTCAATTGTTGCCATTAGTGGGGAAATATATAAAAGATTCACACAGAAAAGTGGGGCAAAGTTCCATGGTGATTTTTCCACTTTATAGAACGTTCCCTCCTTTGGGGAAACATTTAACTCTTTAACTTTTAACTTAACTTCTTTTTTGTAAATTTCCTCATAAAAGATCGTTATGTTAAAGAAAAAGTTACTAATTTCTGCTACCTGTAATATTACTAATTATAAGTAAATGAGAGATTGTTAGATTTAAAAAAAGTAATTATCTAAAAAGTATCCTGTCTGTCTGTTTTCATATGACTGTAACCAATAATTTGTTTTTTTATCAAATTTCAATTATTGTTTTTTTTTTTCTTTCACTCCATTCCTTTCAGACATATGGAAGTAAGAACTTGAAACGCATTGGGACTATTTTACAGAGAGGGATTATTATTCTAATGCTGTTCTGTTTCCCCTGTTGGGCCATATTCATTAATATTGAACACATCCTTCTGCTCTTCAAACACAACCCGGACATTGCCAGGTTAACGATGCAATAATTTTTCTTTTGTGACACATCACATTTGTTTCATACTTTACAATCCAGTTGTGGCAAGACAAATAGTGCATTTTGACAAGTTTAAGAAAACAATTTTAAATATTTAACAAAAGGTGATCTGACCTGTATTTCTGTGACTAAATAATTTGGAGCATTTCATATTGGGTATTTATCTTCATAACTCCTTTTTTTTATCTTTTACCAATTTTTTTTTCTTTTTAGGATTAATTTATTAAGTGAGAATTTGAAGTGAATATCAAATTTAAAGGAAACTGTGGCAAAACCAGCCACTTCAGCATGTATTTTCATGTGTGTGATGCTATCCCTTTAAGGACTATTAGAACCAAGGTGATAGCTGTATATGTGTAGTGTGCGAACAAGTGCATTCGTATGCTGGTGGCGAGAAAGTCCCAGCATTCATACAATAGTTTCCCGAACAGGGTATATCAACCCTGTTCGGGAAACAAACTAACTACCGAATGGGAGACCACACTCAGGAGGTCGTGTGTCTCCCATTAAAGATTGCAACAATGTTTCCTTCGGTGATTATTGGGTTTCAGGGTAGAGTGGTTCGGCTACCGACCACGCGGCGATCGGCCATCTTGGATCCTTTGTTAGCCCAGCGGTATTTGGTCGTCGAGCGTCTGGAACTAAAATCAGCTACTCGACAGCATGATTACCGCTGGACTTCCAGGCCGTTCGGGAGCCCCGGTCGTTCGGTAGTTTGTTCCCTTAATGTCAATCGGTACTTTGAATGTAACTTGAAACTAATGTGTGTTTCTTGCGGCGTTCAGTTAGTTATGCTGGGATCTGAGCGGCCTTCTCACGAACTGTGCGTTCAGACCCCAGCTATCTACCTAATGTCCATTCATTTAAATCAAGTGAATATTATAAAAGTTATGCATTTTCATGTAAAATGTCAGTTCTGCTGCATGGAGGGATAATCCACTTAACTGTATATTCTAGTGGGAGTATCCCTCTTGTACAGCAGTGCATGGTGGTCCCCTACTGTACCACCCCTGGAATGTCAGTAGGGAAACCTCTTGCATATATACGGTGACCTGTGATTAAAAGCTCAGTTGACTCCCAGCCTATGTGTCGTCTAGTTCTTGGGAAGGAGGATTTATACAATGCTACCGGGATTATTGCATTCTGTACTTATTTTTCTTGAAGGATTCTATGATGTTCCTGTTACCCAGCGGAGATATTGTGGATTATACTACCTCTCCGCTACAAAAACATATAATCGAACTAGAAAAAGTATCTAAGCAATCCGTGCTTCCAATTCTGCCTTTGGTCTTAAATTTGAAATTTACTAACAATTAACTTTGAATTCTCATTTTAGTAAGTATCCCTGAGAGTGCCCAGGCATCTGCTGCCTGCCTCATAGGAAATTTAACTCGGTAACTCCTTAAAAAAGAAAAAACACAAAGTTTTAGATGCAGAGATCAGAAGGGAAAAAAAACTTAGCCACTCTTTTGGGACAGTCTGCCTGTAACTGTGTGTGTCTGAGATTGTCTGCTTGTAATTATGTGTGTGTGTGACTGTCTCCCTGTGTCTGTGTGCGACTGTCTGTGACTGTGTGTGGGTGACTGCCTGTATCTGTGACTCTGTGAGTGACTGTTTGTTTGTAACTGTGTGTGTCTGCCTGTAAATGTGTTTGTGTGTCTGTCTGCTTGAAATTATGTGTGTGACTGCCTGCATCTGTGACTGTGTGTGACTGTTTGCTTGTAACTGTGTGTGTCTGCCTATAAATGTGTATGTGACTGTCTGCCTGTGACTGTGTTTGTGTGAATGTCTGCCTGAAACTATGTGTGTGACTGCCTGTAGCTATGATTTTCTGACACAACACCGCGGGGCCATGCATGTGTGAACTATGTACTGCCATGGCGGCCGTAAACCTCGCACACCCTTAAAGCTGGCCCTGCCTCCAAGACTTTCTATATAAGTTCTGCTGCTTATCCTGATCAGTTGCATAACTCTCCTTCTCATGCAAAGTGCCTTAGATCAGTAGCCAAATTTCTGCCCAATTACATTGTGAACTGTTTGTTGAAAATTTAACAAACAGATCACAAGCAAGTTTTACTTGCATGACAATTATTTCAGAGTGAGAGAAAATACAGTTGAGGCAATTCAGTAATTGCCAGATTTTGATAAAATCTAGAGAACATAACTGTATTCCGACTGCAATGGCAATGCTAATATTTACTAAAGCTAATTCCAGTCGGAATTCAGTCAGGCCAACAAAATTGGCAACAATCTGCAAGATGCTTTAGTGTGTGGTTTTAAATCGGTGCTTCCACATTAGAAAGCTATACGAATTATTGGATCCAAAATATGTACAAAGTTGCAAATTTAAAGGACCACTATAGTGCCAGGAAAACATACTCGTCGGGCTCTGGGGAGAGGAAAAGGGTTAAACTTACCTTTTTTCCAGCGCCGAGCTGGGAGCTCTCCTCCTCCTCTCCGCCTGCGATCCTCCTCTTCGGCTGAATGCGTACGCGCGGCAGGAGCTGCGCGCGCATGCAGCCGGTCTCATAGGAAAGCATTTACAACGCTTTCCTATGGACGCTTGCGTCTTCTCACTGTGATTTTCACAGTGAGAAGCACGCAAGTGCCTCTAGCGGCTGACAATGAGACAGCCACTAGAGGATTTGGAGGCTGGACATTTTTTTTTTTAAAAAGGGTTAATCCTAGAGGGACCTGGCACCCAGACCACTTCATTAAGCTGAAGTGGTCTCGGTGCCTAGAGTGGTCCTTTAAACTAGATTGGGACAGAGTACATCCAGCAGGATGCACATTTACAAGTTATCGTTCACTTGCTTTTATGCAAGTGAACAAGAGTTTGAAGTACTATTGCCTGCTGGCAACAGCAGCATGGACTACTGCTCACTGTAAATAAAAACTAGCAACTTTTTTGTGTGACTTATACACCCCATCCCATGGAAATGGGGATAGACAGATGACAAAAAAAAACTTTGGATGACTTGCTTAAAACGGCACTGTCACCCCCCCTACGTCCACTCCAAAATGAGTATTTCATAAAGATAGAGTCTTATTATTATTATTACTACTATTATTATTATTATTATTGTCATTAATATAGTGCCAACAGATTCTGTAGTGCTTTACTATATTATGAGAGGGGCGATTTAACTTTAAAGAGGACAGTTACAAGAAAACTTACAGGAATGATAGGTTGAAGAGAGCCCTGCTCAAAAGAGTTTACAGTCTATAGGAGGTGGGGTATAAAACACATTTGGAGAGGAAATAGCAATCAAATAAGATGGGAATGAAGCAGAGCTGGAGGAGAGAGTAGAGTAGAGAGCTGCCCTTTAGGAAAGAACAAGAGACAGGTAGAGGTTACTCTGGGAGGTAGAGGTTACTGTGGGAGGCCATAATATTTCCTAAAGAGATGAGGTTTAAGCACTTCTTAAACGATTGAAGACTAGGGGAGAGACTGATGGCGGTAGACAGGCTATTCCATAGGAAGGGAGTTGCCTGCGAGAAGTCCTGCAAGCATGAGTTGACCGCACGGGTGCGAGCAGCGGACAGGAGAAGGTCACGGGTAGAGCGAAGAGACCGCAAAGGTGTATACCTATTGATCTGTGAAGAGATATAAGAGGGGCTAGAATTATTCAGTGCTTTATAGTTAGCACTTTGAATTGACTCCTATAAGATATAGGAAGCCAATGTAAGGACTGACAGAGGGTTGAGGTGTGAGAGGACCGACTAGAGAGGAAAATCAGTCTGGCAGCAGCATTCATTAGAGACAGTAGCGGGCAATATGGCTTTTGGGAAGACCAATTAGAAGAAGGTCACAATTACTAGAGCATGGACCAGCTCCTTGGTAGCATCTTGCGTAAGAAAGGGACGGATGCAGGCTATATTTTTAAGATGGAATCTACAGGATTTGGCAACATACTGGATATGAGGCTCAAAGGTAAGTCAAGAATCAAGTATGACACCAAGAAATACTCAGATGATAAACTGAGGCAAAGTAGGGACGCTTTGCAACTGGCTCTGTCAGTTTGCCCACATGGCTTTCTTGGAGTGATTGCTGTACTGTGGAGCCTGACTGAACACTTTTTTTGCTATATCAATACCTACCATTTCTTCTTTATTGAGAATATTTTATCCAGAATATTGTAGCATGCTTGGGAAGTTTAGTCTAGTATATGTGTCCTCGAAGGCACACTCAGGGATATTTTCTTAGAGGCTCTATCTCTCCTTATTTACTTGATCTCTCTCTGCTATTATTTTCTACCCTTATTTCTGAAGCATCTGTTTGATTCTGATACAACTTGATACTAACTATACATTGTGTGACCTTACATACAAATAGATACTAACTTTACACTGTGTGTCCTTACATACAAATAGATACTAACTTTACACTGTGTGTCCTTAGATTCAAATAGATACTAACTTTACACTGTGTGTCCTTACATACAAATATATACTAACTTTACACTGTGTGTCCTTAGATTCAAATAGATACTAACTTTACACTGTGTGTCCTTACATACAAATAGATACTAACTTTACACTGTGTGTCCTTAGATTCAAATAGATACTAACTTTACACTGTGTGTCCTTACATACAAATAGATACTAACTTTACACTGTGTGTCCTTACATACAAATAGATACTAACTTTACACTGTGTGTCCTTAGATTCAAATAGATACTAACTTTACACTGTGTGTCCTTACTTGGATACTTATTATTTGCTTTGATTTCTTACCTCCACTTGAAAAAGCCTTTTAAGATGAAACACGTTGTGGTTTTTATCTGGATATTTTATTATGTATGAATAAAAGTATTTTGGTTACTTCCGGTGCCATTTTACTCTTTTTTATTCTACATTTTATTTTTGTTACTATTTTATTATTTTTATCCTGTACTGCCTGGCACCTGATTTTATTTCCAGTGAACATCACTTCCCAGCAATATCCTTGGTGGGGATTATTCCACCCACGCCCTATCCATAGAGCAGTTTGCCTGCTCTGGAACAAGTGAGTAAAATATTCGCTATATATATTCCTGATATTTTAAACTGTGAGCACTATTTGTCATTTATTTTGATATTTTATGGTCCTCACCCAACTGAGAAGCCATATTCACATATCATTTAAACCCTTAAGGACACATGACATGTGTGACATGTCATGATTCCCTTTTATTCCAGAAGTTTGGTCCTTAAGGGGTTAAAGTGGGGATTGTATCACTGCACGCTATCTACACTGGAGCTAGTTCTGGCTCCATAAAATGTAAGGATATCTATTTTATATTTTATACTCTCCCTGCCAGTACATACTGCACCATCATCTCCTTTCTTTTTCCATATATGGATTCACTGCTGATCATCTCTGACATCCCCATAAGAGAATCCTTCTTAAACCTCCGGATACCACCCCTGGCTATTGTACATTTGCATTCATATTGAAATACCAGTTTTGGACTTTTTGCTACCTCTGGACTTTATAATCCAGACATTTTAGTATATAATCATATTTTTCCTATTTAAGTTGTTTCCCACTGTACCTTAGGTATTTCTACTCTGTGTCTCTACCCCTTCTGTTGTTTTTACTTTGTTTACTGTCTCCATAAGCAGGAAAGAGGGATCCCTACTTTTGGTGTTATATGTCTCCCAATATATTATTACTAGCAGGTGTTGTCAGTGCTGTCCCTTTCTCTATATCTCTTATTTCTCTGCTAGTGCCCTAATCATTATGCCAAATAACATGTATTTACGACAGGATGGGTTTACATCCATTTGATTAGAGTGTTATTGAGAACATTAATACCTTTTTCTATTATTCTCTTATTTTAAAATCATACAGATGTAGGCAACCTTTGGCACTCCAGATGTTGTTGACTACATCATCTCATAATGCTGGCAAGGCATCAGGGGAGATGTGGTCCAGAACATCAGATTGCAGTCCCCTGCTGTTGTATATGATTTATAAATATAATGTCTCTAATGTCTTTTTAGGTTAACACAGACATATGTGTTGATTTACATACCAGCTCTTCCGGTAAGTTCATATGCATACCTCCTAGTTGTCCCTATTTAGGAGGGACAGTCCTTATTTTCCAAATACATCTGCCCCCATTTTTTATCCTAATCCTTTTTTTTGTAGGAGCTCAGCATTAGCAATAATACTCAAAGTAATGTGTCTTTAAACTACAATAAATGTGTTAACAATTTAAGCAACTAAAATATAATTTAGAACAAGGACTACGTGTCTTATTTACACAGACTGATTTCGTATGAAAAAGTCACCTATTTTTTCTCAGGACAACCTCCCTTTGACTACACCTTTATTTACACTCCTAAAATGAAAATGACAGTTTCAAATATTAAATGGTATGTGTACGATGTCCTTGGTGGAGTTTATATTTAAACAGAGGGAGGGGAAACAGTGTTCAGGATATTTATAAAATGTCCCAGTTGTCACTGGTAGCAAAGGAGTCACAGGAAACATTGTTCTTATCTCTTGCAGGCAAGAGCACATCTCTTTGAATACAGTGTTAGATTGAGGTTGTGGAGGTTGTATAGACATCACACCTTAAAACTCCAGCAGCTTTCATCTGTCAGATGCACACATTCATGCTATATGGGAACATGAGCATCCATACTGAGGTCTGTGACTTTTGTGCACAAAAAAGCCATTCATTTGAACCAGCCTACCTGGTCAAATGTTGCAACCCCTCTCCTTTTGCATACAAATGTGTAGGATCTAAAAAACTAAAAAAACAAACAAACAAAAAAACAGTATCGAGTTGCTTTAGCCATGTGTTTCATTTTATCTTTATATGTCATTTTAGAATATATTTATATTTATATATTTTTTTTCTGTTTTCGCTGCTCTATATATGTGTATATGCATAGATAATGTAAACTGTTTTTTCACATCCAAAGTGGAGGAAGGTGTTAGGAATTTTTTTTCATTATTACATAGTCCCCCCTCATCCTTTTTCAAGAGATTTCAGGTGTGGCATTTGCATTTGGAAGCTGTTGCTAGGAACCCACAGCATGCAGTCAAATGAGCTTTTAATGCAAGTGAAACAGGTGATCCTTAGGCTGCAAAAAACTAAATCCATCAGAGAGATAGCAGGAACATTAGGAGTGGACACATTAACAGTGTGATACATTCTGAAAAAACTAGAATGCACTGGTGAGCTCTGCTACACAAAAAATGGCCTAGATGTCCACAGAAAACAACAGTGGTGGATGATCGTAGGATTCTTTCCATGGTAAAGAAAAAAAACCTTCACAGCATCCAGCCAAATGAAGAACACACTCTCTGAGGTAGGCATATCATTAACCAAGTTCATCATAAAGAGAACACTTCACTACAAGATTCAAACCATTCAAAAGCCTCAAGAATACAATGACCAGATTAGACTTTGCCAAAAACATCTAAAAAAAAATGCAGCCCAGTTCTGGAACAGAATTTGTTGGACAGATAAAACTAATATCAAGCTGTACCAGAATGATTAAAAAAGTATAGAGAAGTCTTGGAAAAGCTCTGGAGCATACAACACCATCTATAAAACACAATAGAGGCAGCAAGATGGCATGGGTATGCATGGATTCCAATGGCACTGGGTCACTAGTGTCTATTGATGATGTGACAGAAGACAGAAGCAGTTGGATGAATTTTGAAGTGTATATGGATATATTGTCTTCTCAGATTCAGCCAAATTCAGTGAAGTTGATTGTATGGCTTTTCACTTTACAGATGGACAATGACTCAACACATTATGCGAAAGCAACTCAGGTGTTTTTAAGGCAAAGAAGTGGAATATTCATCAACTGCAGCGCCAATCACCTTATCTCAAGCTGATCGAGCATGCATTTCACTTGCTGTAAACAAAACTAAAGGCAGAAAGACCAGTCTGCAAAGAATTCTCGACAAAGTATTACAAATTAACATTTTATTTATGATTGTGTTAAATTTTCCAATTACATTTGAGCCCCTGAAATAAGGAGACTGTGAATGGTTGCAATTCATAAACGTTTCATACAATATTTTTGTTAAAGCCCGAAAGTCTGCACTTCAATTGCATCTCAATTCTTTCATTTTCACTCTAGTGTGGTGGCGTACAGAGGAAAAATTGTTAAAATGATTACCAAATATTTACGGAACCTAATTGTATGACTCTGTGTGTTTTTGTTTTTTTTTACATTTGATTACATTTGTTATATTTTATTGTTATTTCAGGCTGCATTTCTGTTCCAGTTGCTGTTGCGTTATTTACAAAACCAGGTATGTATTAGCCCACCTGGGACAACATATTTATTACCACAGCGTATTTATTGAGATTCAAATATTATGCTTTACCACCACCTCCACACACACATGCACACACACACACACACAAACAAAAAAAAATATAAAAAAATTTACATCACTAACTCTTTTACAGTTTGGTGGTTCAATGTGTGTAAATGCAAGGGTGTATTTGTCTGTAGCACATCAGTGTGTTTAGTGTCTGTTCGTGTTACTGCAGAATTACATTTGTGTGTAGGGTATCAATGTGAGTGAATCCAGAAGTGTGCATGTGTGCACTGCATCAGTGTGTATTGAAGGACATATTTGTGTAGCATGTCAGTGCGTGAATGCAATGGTGTATTTGCTGGAGTGTCATTGTGTAAATGCAGTTGTGGCTGTTTTGCTGGAGTGCCATTATGTGAATGCATTGTGTGTGCATTTTTGTGTGTGCCTGCAAGTGACAAGATCATTACACCTGTTGCCAGCACGCTGTGCACGCATGATTTTTACACAGAGTTACAGGCGTTCATAAGTGCCAAAGGTGTAACTAAACCCCAACACAAAACTGATCACATCTCTGGATGTGCAGCATTTCAAACAAACTCTGCACATATATAATCCAACCACAACAACCACTTCAAATCACTAAAGTGATCCTGAGTTATAGTAACTCTTGAACTGATTAAGTAAAATGATAAAAATGTTCATTCAACATTCAATGAGCAAAATCCAGTACTTAGTAAAATTGCTTTTGCCAAAAAACAAAGCATCTAAATGCCCAGTGCAGCCTCCTAACAGTCATTCTTTTCTTGCTTCAGGGAATACTTCTAGTTCTGAAATACTTTTAGCTACCTTCTCAAGCACTCAAGACAGAAATCATGGGGTTCAGGCCATGCACTGTTAAGGGACCAGACAAGTATGGTGGGCCACTAGCATCCTTGCAAGTAAGCGATGATGACCACTGTGGAGGTGATGATCTAGCACCTTACTCACAGGAGCAACAGTGATCAAGATAATTAGGTAATAGTCTAATAATAATTACCCCTAGCCCCTATCTTCCACCCACTGAGTCATAGGCATGCGCAGCCTATTGCATAAGGGTGTGCACCCTAAAGCACAAACACACAGGCCGCATATATATATATGTGTGTGAGGGCACTGTGTATGTGTAAGGGTGCTGTGTGTGAGGTTGATGTGTGTGTGTTTGTGAGGGTAGTGTGTGTATGTGTAAGGGTGATGTGTGTGTAAGGGTGCTGTTAGTGTGTGCTGTGTGTGTATGTGTTAGGGTGCTGTATGTGTGAGGGTGCTGTTAGTGTGAGGGTGCTGTGTGTGTATGTGTACTGACCTTATCATACCCCACACCAGAGTTGCCATCAGAGATGGGCCTAATACAGCTCAAGGTCTGGGCCCTTGGGGCCCCTCTCTAAGTCCACCAACAGGGCCCACCTCCAAGTCTGCCTACAAGGATGCAGTGAATGTAGATTGAATACAGGGTGTTTGTGTTGTGGATGCAGTGTGTGTGTTTGTGTTTCGAATGCAGTGTGTGTAAAGTGGACACGGTATGTGTTAATGCATGTGTAGTGTATGCAGTGCATGTGTAGTAGTGTAAGCAGTGTGTGTATATAACACAATTAATACACATATATACACACACACACAGATACACCGATGCTCAGAAACACATTGCTGTAGAATACAAACACACACAAATACATATACACACACACACACACAGATACACACACATAGACACACAGAAACACACACAGAAACACACATACTGACAATATGACACACACATATACACACATACATACACACATACTGATACACAGACTGACACACATTTTAGTCATTTCTTAGCCCCCCTCCTGTTTCTTACCTTTTGGGTGCTGAAGGGTGGCTGGGACTGATGGGAGTCGATCTTGGAGCTGGATGTCCCCTCCTCACTACCTCCACTATACCTCCTCCCTACCACGTGAGTAAACTTGGAGGAAGTGACCAGCTGTTATTTTTTCCCAGCAAAGTCTGTGACTGCCATTTTTAAAAGGGCCTGGTTGTGCTATTAAACAGATGCAGTTCTGACCATCACATAAAGATAAGTGCCCATCGGGTGGCTATAAGTGCATGGGCAACTCGATGGGCCCCATTAGCAGCAATGCCACCGCTACAGATAGAGAATGTGGACTGCCAAGCTTGTGACAACCATCATGGTTGTCACCCATGATGGTGGCCCTGCCCCACACAGTACAGTCCCTATCCCTCCCCCACACAGCAGAGCCCTTACCCCCTCACAATATAACCTCTATGCAGGCTATATTATGAGAAGGTAGAGGCTCTACTGTACACATTGCTGTCCCTATCCACCAAAGGCTCGTTCACCCACCTTCAAAGTACTGTGCAGCCCCTATCCTCCTGTACACTAAAGTCTGCATTCACACATACTATAGTCTCTATCTCCTACACACACGCGCTATGGTCCCTATGCTCAAACACATGCTATAGCCCCTACCACCTCACACTGCTGCCCTTATACTTTTAAAAAACACAACACGCTCAAAACACCACAAACATAACATCACAAGCAGTCTCCAAATGCATACACCACCACATGCAACCTTACACACATATAATCCTCTACCAACCTTGCTCTTCTTTTGTCTTCTGGTTTTCCACTTATGGGGATGCCTGAGACATGTCACCAGCAAAGACAGAGTAAGCATATCATTAAATTGTATTAAATACAGGGCATTTTGCCCAGAGCATTTTATCAGGGATCTATGAATGGGCTGCTCTAGAGAGGCACCAAACTGACATGCCCACTTTAGGGTGCATGCCAATGATGACACAAGAAAATTCCAATGAAGACTTCTCCCATAGCCCAAACCATCAAGGGACATTTTGGGGCCCCTAACACCAGGGTCGGACTGACCACTCAGGCAGATTGGTCATGGACCGAGGGACCCAAGGCAGTCAGGGGCCCGGCCGGCTGCACAACCATGCTCTGGCTGGGGAGATCAGATCAGATGTACACTGGAGACATTGTGTGTTAGTGCATGTGTAGTCAGGGCCGGATTAACATAGGGGCTGATGGAGCTGCAGCTCCAGGCCCAGGCCCATGGAATAGGCCCATTGATTTAAAAAAAATAAAAAATAAACACACACTACTTTTAGGGTTGCCAGGTATTTCTCAGAAGTATTTCTTATGGTTGCCAGGTATTTCTCAGGTATTTGAGGCTGCCTAGCCGGTGCCGGTATTGCAGTAATACCGGCAACACAAATGTCTGTTTCAGTATAAACAGAGATTATTCTTCAATACCAGCGCCGGCCAGTAGGGGTCGCTGTTTGTGTGGAGAGAGGCAAGGATAAGAAGTTACAGCATCTCCCTCCCTGTCTCTCTCTACTCACTGATCCACGGGCAGCACAGAGAGTCCAGATAGCAGTTTCAAGCCTGCAAGACATGGGGACGATGAGAGACTTGGGGACGCTGAGACATTTTGACACTGGGAGACATAGGGAACCTGAGACACTAGGGACACAGTGGTCCCATTACTCACAGTGGCCCCTAGTCTCTCAGTGTCCCCATGTCTCCCACCCAGTGTCTTTAGTGTCTCAGTGTCCCCGTGTATCCCAGTGTCCCAGGTGTCTCTCAGTGTGCCTGGTGTCTCTCAGTGTCCCTAGTGTCTGTGTCCCTAGTCTCCCATTGTGCACTAGTCTCTCAGTGTCCCCATGTATCTCAGTGTCCCCATGTCTGACCCAGTATCTCAGTGTCTCCAAGACTCACAGTGTCCCAATGTCTCTCAATGTCCCCTAGTGTCCTAGTGACATTGGGACACATGGAGTCACAGACTCTAAGGGACACTGGGAGATATGGGGATACAAACACTAGGGGACACTGGGTGATATGGGGATAATGAGACACTAGGGGACACTGAGAGACATGGAGATACAGGGAGATATGGGGCTCTCCCAGTGTCCCCATGTCTCCCAGCCAGTGTACCTAGTATCTCAGTATCTCCATGTCTCTCAGTGTCCTTAGTGTCTCAGTGTCCTTAGTGTCTCAGTGTCCTCAGTGTTTCAGTGTCTTAGTGTCCTCAGTGTCCTCAGTGTCCCCTACTCTCTCAGAATCCCCTAGTCTCCCAGTGTTCCCATGTCTCACAGTGCCCCAAGTGTCTCAGTGTCCCCTAGAATAAAAGAAAAAAATCTCAGGCACACACTGATATATTTAAGCAGGTTTATTGGACACCACAATGTTTTGACCTGTGCCCAGGTCTTTATCAAGTCTCCAGTGTCCCCTATATATCACAGTGTCCTCTATGTATCACAGTGTCTCAGTACCCCATGTCTCCCAGTGTACCCTCATGTCTCAAAGTCACCCAGTGTCCCCATGTCTCCCAATGTCCCCAAGAGTCTCAGTGTCCCTAGGTCTCCCAGAGTTCCCTAGTATCTCAGTGTCCCCATGTCTCCCAGTGTCCCAATGTCTCTCAATGTCCCCTAGTGTCCTAGTGACATGGGAACACAGGGAGACATGGGGACACAGACACTAAGGGACTGGGAGACACAGACATGCCCCCTTTTTGTGTATGTTTGCCCCTTTCGGCAGTTCTTGTTATTTGATTTGTGTCAGTGGACCAACCTTTTACCCCATCCATAGACTTCCTACTTTACTGGACACTGTTTACTGGACACTGCTGTTAGGGGGTATGGGTTTACTTGAAAGATGAAAGCGTGAGATTAGCATAGGGTATGTGTTTTCTAATAGCTGCATCTTATGAGTTTCCCTCCAGCACCATCTCCATCAGATACATGATGCTTAGGAGGTAGGACAGTTTTAGTGTTTTTGGTCAATAAGATTTTGTAATTAGGCCCCTCATAATTGTCAGGACCAGGCCTACTGGGCTCTTAATCTGGCCCTGTGTGTAGTGGATGCAGTGCTTGTGTGTGTAGTGAATATAGTGTGTGTATATTGTGTGTGTGTGTTTTTGTGTGTATATATATATACATATACATATACATATACATATATATATAGCAAGGCTCTGCTTCCTGCTGGTCCAGTAATGTGTGTCTGGCTTCTGCAGAGCTGCTGTAAGCCACAGGGATATTGACATTTGCACAGAATTGACATTAGTCTGCCTGGAGCTCTGATGATTATTATAATTGACATTTATATAACGGAATGCCAACTTATTCCGCAGCGCTTTACAATATTATAAAGGGGGGAATTTAACAATAATCGAGACAATTACAAAATGTAGGTTGATGAGAATTCTGCTCAAATGAGCTTAAAATCTTGAGGAGATGCATAAAAACACAATAGGAAGGGCAGAGTGTGGGATATGAACCAAGCAACAAGGTCGAAAAATAGCATAACTGGAAGGTGACAGTAGAGTGTGACCCTTTAAGAGAGAGCAAGAGACAGGTTTGTGAGATAGAAGTTACTTTCTGCCATAATCTTTTCTGAAGAGATGGGTTTTAAAGGAGCTTCTTAAATGATTGAAGAATGTCTTATGTGGGTACATAAGTTTTTTCAAAGGAACAGAGCTGCCCTCGAGAAGTCCTGCAAGCGTGAGTTAGTAGTAGTGATGCGAGCAGCAAACAGAAGATGGACAACAGCTGAGTGGAGAGACCGGGAAGGCCTAACCACTGAGCTATCACATATTTGTTTTTTATTTGTAATTACTTTTGTCTATATGCAACAAATTATGGATTAAAATTGATTGTGTAAAATTATTTGATCAGGATACATTTAAATTTTGCTAGATTTGCTAGGTACCTCTATAAGTTTTAATAATCTTTTTTTTATTTCTAGTATTCCATTTATCAACATATAAATGGTATAATATTGAGTTAAAATATGTTACCTGGTATTTAAAGGACTAACCACCAAGCTATCAAATATTTGTTATGTTATTTATTTGTAATTATTTTAGTCTATATGCAACAAATAATGTATTGAAATGGATTTATTTTTCTTATTACATTTTAGGGTATAATATGGCCACAGGTGTTTATTGGTATTGCCGTAAACATCATTAATGTTATTATCAACGCCATCTTCCTTTTTATCCTAAATCTTGGGGTTGTGTAAGTAATTTTATGTTTGAAATATATTAAAGTTATTATTTGAATATATTGTCAACAATAGCCCATTTAGAAGCTTGTTGTTTTTTAAGTCACATGGATGTCATGTGATCTAATAAAGATGTGTTGAATTCCAAGTACCATAAGTACTACAACGTATTGCAGGTTCCTATGTGTAAAATCCTTCCATTTGCAACACGTTTCACAAAAATTAAGATTTCCTGACCTGACTCATACCTTGAAGATATCATAATTAGGGAATTCACTACCTCACTTATCACCCAAAAATATGTACTGAAGGAGCATGTATTTTGAAGTCGCAACATTCAGTTAGTGGTTGTGTGCACTAAGATATAGGTAGAAACAACATATAACATCCATTGAGTCTCTGTCAATCCATAAAATACCTCCAAACTGAAACCTGCTTATGCCATCCAATGGGCTCTAGAATCTAATAGGTTCCTCGTGTTTATTTTGTAGTAGCAGAAAAGTTAATGATACTTGGGCTACAAGGAAATGGTTAATGGTGAGTTAGTAAAGCTAATGTTTGTAAAATTATGAACTACACACTTTATTTTAATTTTAAAAATTTTCAGTAAATGTGGTCTCTTCTGTCACCTGTTAACCATTTACTTTTTATACTGGTTTAATAGTAGTACAAGGAGCTCTAACATTGACTGCTGCAGGGATTATTCTACTAGTCCACGTGATTTTTTTTTTTTTCCATAGATATATACAAAGCAAGTATGAATTTTTGGGTGTAAAAAGTATGTTAAGAGTGACATCACATTCCTGTATGTTCAATAATACCTTTCATACATTGATTTGCTGAAAAGTTTGTAGAGAAGTATTTTACTTTTCTTTTATTAACAAATGTTTTTGTATAATCTTTATAATGAATTAAAAATACAGAAGCAGACCCATCCTGGAGTCTAGTGCAAGTAAGGCAGTGTGGAAGCTGTTGTGGTTGCCACAGTGCTGGAGCAAAGGTGACCCTGACTGGTTTATATATTTTATTTAAAGATCACTACAGTGACAGGAAAACAAAGCGGGTCCCCCTCCCGTAGCACTGAAGGGGTTAAAACCCCTTCAGCAGCTTACCTTAATCCAGCGCCGGGCTCCCTCGGCAATGGTGACCTCTCCTCCCCCGCTGACGTCAGCTCCCAGCTGGAGTGCAAATTCGCATCCAGCGTTGCAGATGCGTCTATAGCGGCTGTCTTCCTTGATTAATCCCTAATGGAAACATAGCGGTTTCTCTGAAACTGCTATGTTTACAGCTGCAGGGTTAAAACCTGAGGGACCTGGTACCCAGACCACTTCATTGAGCTGTAGTGGTCTGGGTGACTACAGTGTCCCTTTAATTATATTGTTTTTTTGTTTTTGTTTTTATTGCTGGTTTAGTATATTTAGAGGTTTAGTATATTTTTGCCCTAAAGGCACACTCTGAGCACCATAACAAGTTTGTCTCAAATAAGTTGTTATGGTACTTGGAAGTCATAGGTGCTGTCTTACCTTAATGGGTTTTACTATTTGCAAATGGTTCCACTTTAAAGTTATGTAGAAGGAGCCCGTCAGTTAAGCCCCTCTACTTTTTCAAGTCCGAAGCTTCAATGAGGAAGCCGCTGAATGGGCTGAGAGTGTCAGCTGATACTCTCAGTCTATCGATAGCTTCACATTGAGAAAACTGTGTCAGAATGTTATTAATAGTCTCCGACTTGTCCAGAAGTAGAGGAGCGAGCTGACTAGTGCTTTGTATGCAACTTTGGGGTTAAACCATTTGTTAACATTTAACTCCATTTAAACATTTAACTAAAGATAGGATAGTGTCCAAGATGTCAAATTATCATAAATCTTCATTGAGCTTAGGTTGCTATGGTACCTGGAATGTTTCTTTTATATGCATTTAATACTTGTTTTTTTTCTGATTAAAATGGTTATTGGAAATATTTCAATAAAATATCAATACACAGTAGTGAAAAAAGCATAGCCATGTTTACATAAAATGCATATTTCTCCAGTTTAATCCCTTAAGGACTGAGCCAAGCTGTACATCAAAACAAAGTGTAAACAAACCACAGAATTTGACTATATATCTGTTCAACAATAATTTACCTCTTTCATACTAAGTGCATACCATACCTATATATAATTTTGTTCAGGAGAAACAGAGCTTTCATTTCATATCAAACATTCATATATGGAGCTCCATTTTATATGATTAAAATCTAAAAAAGTTTAAAAAATTAAGACATTTTGCTATTTTTCAAGTTCTACTTGGCATTTTAACTGTTAATGTCAGAATACTGTTTGGTTTTACTGCAATAAAACATACATATTTATATTCAGAAATGTCTCTCGAGTAAAGAAGTAACCCCAATGTACAGGTTTTATGGGGTTTTGGAAAGTTACAGGATCAAATATACGTCTTGCCCATTAATTTTTTTTCTACATTGAAATTTGCCAGATTGGTTTGCTGTGCCTAGGTTGCCTTTGAGACCGTATGGCAGCCCAGAAATGAACATTACCCCCATCATGGCATACCATTTGAAAAAGTAGACATCCCAGGGTATTCAAAATTGGGTATGCCCAGTCTTTTGTTGTAGCCACTTGGGCACAAACCCTAGCCAAAGTTAGTATTCAGATTTTTTTTTTCATTCTTCACATAAAACTGTACTTTGTTTTCCCTGGGGTTTTAATTTGCGAGTGGGAGAGTGTGCCTGATATGCCTGCCACCATTTTTCCTCTCTGGGCCCGCTGGTATCTGCGTTGTCGGACAGCCATTTTGGATGCAACCCAGGCAGTGCCCCTGTGGCAAATGACCGTGATCTGCAACATCTGCCTGGGTAATAACATTTCCACTATTATGGCATTTTCAAAAGTAGGCAAACCAGAGTATTCCAAATGGCATAATTTGAGATGTTTGGTCTAGCCATTTTATCAGAAATAATGGGCCCACATAGTGGTTATAGTTTTATTTGTGCTTTTCCAGTGATGAACTCTTCACAGGACATTTCATATTCCTGATATGAGTTATTGCAACAAAGCCTCACTATTTTCATTTATCATTGTATCCTGAATATAACAGTACCCCTATGTACCAGATTTTCTATTTTGTGGGGAAGTCACGGGGACAAAAATATTACATGTCCATTTCAAAGTTGGAAATTTTGCAAAGTGGGCCTAAGTGGGCCTAAGTGGCTTTTCAGAGAGTATGGCAGCCTGAGTAATAACATTTCCACCATTATGGCATACCATTTTCAAAAGTAGGCAAACCAGAGTATTCCAAATGGCATAATTTGAGATGTTTGGTCTAGCCATTTTAACAGAAATGCAGGGCCCAGATTTTTTTACTTTTATTTTTGTCTTTTTACACACATGAATTGCATTTTCACAGGAAATGTCATAATCCTGATATTAGTTAGTGCAATAAAACCTCAGTATTTTGATTTAACACTGTCTTCTGAAGATAACAGTATATGTACCAATTTTCCAGGTTTTTATTATATCACAGGAATAGAACAGTACCCCCACATACTATGATCTGAAAACAGAGACGCAGAGAGATCTTTGATCTCACACAGAGAGTTACTGTGTGAAAAGTTTGAGAATTTTCTTTTTTTAATTTGCGATTTTTTTTAACCCTTTCAGTGCTAATCATGTCATTAACCCTGTGATTAAAGTTTATTTTTTTGGGGGGAAGTCACATTTCAAGTACTACAAATGTAGTACTTTGAGTTGTTTGGTTTAGCCACTTTAGAATGGCTAGTGTAAACAGGGACAGGTCAAGGTCAGGGGAATCCAGAAGTCAGAGTAGTCGGTAAAAGAAGCCAATAGGTCGGTACAGGCAGCTAACAAAGCGTAGTCAGGACAAGCCGAGGTCAGAAATCCAGGGAAATCAAGCAAACAAACTGCCAAAATACCATACAGAGTGATTTAGTAGTTCAGCTCTGTATGGTAGACTTTGAAACAGTCTGTTCTGCAGAGGGCGGATTATGCAGAGGGCGGGTAGAGATGGGCAGGTTGGGCAATAATAACTGGAGTCATTTCGGACTCCTTTCTTATAGCAAACACGGCACTTTCTTCAGAGAGCTTTTTTTACTGGGGGTGGGTGGGATTCAGGAAGGGAAGTGTTTGCCACAAAGTCTTTGGAGATCTCCTGATTGCAAAGTGGGATTGGGGGGCTGAGTAAATAACATGGGATAAAAGGCTTAGCATGAATTGTAGGAAAGTGCAGGGCTTACCTATGACATCTTTTTTTTTTTATAGAGGACGTAGGCATTGAAAATTGCAATCTGGCTCATGTAAATTGTGATTTTATTGTACCAGGTTCTAGTTTTTTGGTTCACCAGATAGGGCTATATGCATTAGTCAGCCAATTCTACTCCCCCCATAAACTTGCTGTAGTCTACAATGCACTTAGGCTTTTCCAGATGCTCAGTGCTACCTCTCACAGACACTGGCACTGTACTTTCGTCGTGCATTGTAGACGGCATGTATACATCCTTCCTATCTGTGAAGCAAAGGGCAAGCAACTCATCCTGGTGGAGAGCTGAAGAGGAACCTCCACTTCTACCTCTTGCCAGGGCTTGGGGGAAACCCCTGCGATTCTTCCTTACTGTGCCACAGGCTAGGGTTTCAAAGCAGTATACATTTTTAAATAATTCTATACTGGTATAGTAATTGTCAACCCATAGCCTGTATCCCTTATTTAACAAGGGAAGGATTAGATCCCAAACAATATTGCCACTTGTACCCACAGAATCAGGGCATCCTTGTGGGTCAAGATGGCTATCCTTCCCCTGGTAAATATGAAACCCCCATGTGCAAATAGATTAGTTTGCTGAGCCATGATCACAAATACGTCGTCCGACATAAAGAGCTCAAAAAAACGAATTGGTTCGCAGTCATCCACTGTTACAGTGATGCCAGGTTTAACAGTGAACGGCGGTATTTCTGGGGCCATCATGTTTGGGGCACTCAGTCTATGTCCTGCATTACAATATATACCTATTATCTACACCCACTACCCTCCCTCACAAACCCACGAAAATAAACGTACTGATCACAGTTTAGTCAGCTGTGATCAGTACTGAAAGGGTTATTTTTATTTTATTTTATAAAAATAACCCTCAAAAAGGTCAGCCTGATCAAAGAGCCCTCTGATCACAGTGATCACTGATACAGTACTGTACGGCAGATATACTGTACAGTACAGTGATCATGGCAGGAGGGAAGGGGTTAAGGGAGATTTTGGTTGCTGCAACTGACACACAGGGTCAAAAAACATTTTTATTTTTATTTTATTTTATAAAAACAACCCTAAAAAAGGTCGGCCTGATCAGAGAGCCCTCTGATCACAGTGATCACTGATACAGTACTGTACAGCAGATATACTGTACAGTGATCATGGCAGGAGGGAAGGGGTTAAGGGAGATTTGGGTTGCTGCAACTGACACACAGGGTCAAAAAACATTTTGAAAAGTTTTTTTTGAACCCCCAAAAAAAAATAATATAGTACAAAAGTACTAAAAGCCCTAATCAGGCTGATCACAGTGTTAATGCTTGCTATGATATGCACTGAAAGGGTTAAAAAAATTGTTTTTTTTCCCACAGGAGCTGCTATCTGCAACGATCTCTCTGCCTCTCTCTCAGATGAGGTGAGAAGAGGGGCAGAGACAATGTGTCAGCCAGTGATTTAAAATCATTGGCTGACACATTGTAACAGTGATCGCAGTGACTGGCTGTCACTGCGATCACATGCTGCAGATCGCGTCATTGGCCACAAGGGGGACTGCCTGGGTTGCCAGGAATGCCCCCAGACTGCGATCTGCAGGGGACGATCTGCAAAGGGGGAATGGCGGCAGCCATGTATGTCAGCCAATTCATGAATTGGCTGACACATAATAACACTGATCGCAGTGACTGGCTGTCACTGCGATCAGATGTTGCAGATCACGGTCATTTGCCACAGGGGCACTGCCTGGGTTGCATCCAACATGGCTGTCCGACAACGCAGATACCAGCGGGCCCAGAGAGGAAAAATGGTGGCAGGCATATCAGGCGCACTCTCCCACTCGCAAATTAAACCCCCCAGGAAAACAAAGCAAATGCTGCAAATAAGTGTCTCACCTGTACAACGTCTCGGCAATCAGTGCAGCAAGAACCGACTCTTCACAAAAAACGCAACACAAATGACTGCACGGCAACAAACTCCACGGGGTACCGCCAATGTCAGCAAGTCAAAGGGCGACAATAGAGAGAGGAAGATAAAATCCTGGACTTACCAGCACTAGGTATCGGCTGAGGTACCCATTCTATTGCCCTACACGGGCCCTCGTCGCCTGGACTGTTCCGAGCCCACACGGTAACTCAGAGACCCCATACATATCCTAAGCAGACTATACACCCATTCCAGCAGTAGCCGGTGATCAATCTAATATTTCTGACTACACATGTTCCCAGTGGCTTAATACTCAATGATGACCTGTTGTTACACAGAGCAACCATGCCTAGAGAGAATAGTGATGTCACTTTAAAATATAGGCAAATATTAGTAATGTTACATACAATATGATGCCTCCTAGCCTAAACATTCATGGCACAACGTTACTATGCTTTACTTCGTAACCAGATACTGCTTTGTATTAAAATGTGTTCACACTACATTCACCATAGCATAGGTGACCTAGCAATGTTAAACACCCAGCATCTTTATTTTCATTTTATTTCATTGAATCTTACACGGACAAATCAACTGTTTAGTTAAGTATGTTAAATATAAAAATTGTGCAAATTATCATGCCACTGTCTAACTTGTATGAAACTTGAAATACGCTGTTGTGGCGTTTGTTGATATATTGTGACCATCTGCACATCAAAAATAAAGAATAAAAAATAAAAAATAAACATTAGTCATGGGGGTATAGTAAGATGGTGGCCGCACTCCCAAGAATTTATATAATTATTATTTATATCCTGTATGAAATATGAAAACGAAGTTTTTGTGTTTGTTTGTTTTTTTAGGGGCTCAGCATGGGCAAATACAATTTCTCAAATATCGATGCCTTTACTACTTTTCATCTACCTATGGACAAAAAAGCTGCATATAGAGACATGGGCTGGTATGAACTATATTAATATTCATTGATGCAGTTACATATAGATTTTTTTTAATTTCAGTCTTGCATGAGATTTTTTTCTCTATTTCTTATAATTTTGCGCAATCAATTAAATGTTATAATCGATTTAAATTTAGGTATCACGTGTTATTCTGATTCATATTTGTAATTATTGATCATCCATTACCATTCAGTGATTAGTTTACTAGAGCCTAACGTTATTTTTTTCTGAAGATGCAGTACGTTTATGCCAACATTACAAGTTAGTATTTGTCTGCAACTATGCCAGAATTGTAAAGCTTTTGATTAACATGAAAAACCATTACATATTTGCTAGATGATGGTTGCAGTTTCCCATGTGTAAATCCTACATTAGTGGGACCAGACATAGCATTATGGCAGCAAGCAGCAAATACTTTGTGGCTCTGATAAACTATTTCCATTATGCTTTCTCCCAGTGTCATGCAAACACTGAGTACGTTGCAGAAAAAAAGCTCATGCCAGAAGTGGCGTGCTATAATATACTTGGAATTCATATTGTAAGATGAGTTTTCTGACTCCCAAGTGTAACTTTTTTTTCTGTTAACTAGTAAATCAAGCAGTTAGTCTGCATTAATACAATTTCCTCCTGTGTGGTCTGCAATCCCATATATGTTGGAAAAGTCCCAGTTACAGGGTCCCAATTTATTTTCCTGGTGTAAAGCATCTGGAAGCATCTTCAGTTCAATAGGTTGGCTTGCCTCTTTTTGTGAAGATTGGCCATTGCGGGCATCACCAGAGCTGCAAATCACATCACTGACAAGGACCCCCATCAGGCTCACCCATTCTGTCCTATCTTATAGGCATTGTTAGGGAGTGGTTATAGGGGTTAAAGCCAATTACATTTTAGCCCAGATTCTTTACCTGGAAACATACTAGTACTTTTAGCTTATTTTACATAAGCTCAATCAAAGCTGTTGTCCAAAGTCAAAGAACAAAGCATTCTAATTTATAATTCGAAGAGCTAGTAGAAGTGAGGGAGCAGAAGGGACATAAGGTGATAAAGACGCAAAGGGATGACAGAAGATTGGACAATAAAATAATTGGGAACGAAGAAGAGAGTAGTAAAGGGGTTAAAGGGTTATGTTTGGAATTGGCATTGGATATGAGCTTACATTTTGCTTTTGGATGAAAGCCTCAGTATGTTTTGGAACCTAGAAACACCCCTGTTCCCGACTGAATCATTTATGTTTACCTTGTGTTATAGTAGATTAGTGCATTTGTAATCTGTACTCTTGTTTCCTTTTGCTTTTACTTTCTTTGCAGGTTGGTCAAAAGACTGCTTCCAAGAATGGGGGATTTTTATACGTCTGTCAATTCCTAGCATGTTAATGATGTGTATAAAATGGTGGAGCTTCCAAATTGGAACATTTTTGGTCGGTTAGTTTACAATGTTTTTTTTTTTTTTTTGCAAATCTGTTGTTGCTACTGTAGATAATGAGTTAATATGGATAACAAGTTATATAACAGTTATTAAATGAGTATGAATACAATTCTAACAATAGGTTGGCTAGGTCTTCAAAATACTGTATTTGGCAAAAGAACCTTTTCTTTTCTTGGCAATTCAGATTTCTATTTCACTTTAGGCCTGGTCAGTGTGGTGGAACTTGGAGCACAATCCATAATTGTGGTATTGGCAACAGCATCTGCAATGGTAAGATATTTATTTAAATTGTATAAAATAGTATATATAATGATAAAATGTAAACCTATCTCCTTTTAGTAAGCAAAATTACAGAACATTTTTATTTTCCTTAGTTGTGGAATTGCCCAGGACCTAAGAGTAAATTTGATAACATCTCCAACAAATAATGACTTATGCCCCAAGCTGACCCCACATGCTCTGCCTTGGTTCAAGTTTTGACAACCTCGGACTAAACCCCACACTGTCTCATAATATATTTTATGATATATATATGATATATGCTTTGGTTCATTGTCCTGTTGCAACACCCATCTTCTGCTGAGCTTCAGCTGGTAGACAGATGGCCTTAAGTTCTCCTGCAAAAGATAGCAATCTTTTTTTTGATGTTGGTGTGCTGTGCCTTTTTTTCGCCACACATAGTGTTGTGTGTTTCTTCCAAACAACTCAACTTTGGTTTCATCTGTCCACAGAATATTTTGCCAGTACTGCTGTGGAACATCCAGGTGCTCTTGTGCAAACTGTAAACGTGCAGCAATGTTTTGTTTTGACAGCAGTGGCTTCCTCTGTGGTATCCTCCCATGATATCTATTCTTGTTTAGTGTTTTACGTATTGTAGATTCGCTAACAGGGATGTTAGCATTTGCCAGTGACTTTTGTAAGTCTTTAGCTGACACTCTAGGATTCTTCTTCACCTCATTGAGCAGTCTGCGCTGTGCTCTTGCAGTCATCTTTACAGGACGGCCACTCCTAGAGAGATTAGCAGCAGTGCTGAACTTTCTCCATTTATAGACAATTTGTCTTACCATGGACTGATGAACAGCAAGGCTTTTGGAGATACTTTTATAACCCTTTCCAGCTTTATGCAAGTCAACAATTCTTAATCGTAGGTCTTCTGAGAGCTCTTTTGTGCGAGGCATCGTTCACACCAGGCAATGCTTCTTGTGAAAAGCAAACCCAGAACTGGTGTGTGTTTTTCATAGGGCAGGGCAGCTGTAACCAACACCTCAAATCTCATCTCATTGATTGGACTCCAGTTGGCTGACATCTCACTCCAATTAGCTCTTGGAAATGTCATTAGTCTAGGGGTTAACATACTTTTTCCACCTGCACTGTGAATGTTTATATGGTGTGTTCAATAAAAACATGGCAACATTTCATTCTTTGTGTGTTATTAGTTTAAGCAGACTGTGATTCTCTATTGTTGTGACTTAGATGATGATCAGATCACATTTTATGACCAATTTGTGCAGAAATCCATATCATTTTAAAGAGTTCACATACTTTTTCTTGCAACTGTATATCACTAGCTCTTGTAAGAGCTATCCTGATATACTCTCTGGGCTAGGAGAGGTCTACCTACTGGATCCCTGACTTGGGTCCAGAGTGGGTGGAGAACGGCAAGACCCAAGCCAAGCTGTAACGCTGGAAGTGGGGACTACGGTGCTGATGGTGTCTGGTGCAGTGCTTGTGGTACACGGTAAGCACTAATGAAGCAGCGATTGGCGGAGGCACCCAGTTGGGGTGCCAGGCGGTCTGTCACCTCTGGTGGCAGCAGTGGGATGGCTTACTAGTGCAAGGAGAAGCATCCTGGAGACACCGTTCTTGGACTTATAATTGAGCCAATGTTAGTACCCATACAGCGCCCCTGGCTACAGCAGTATGGAACCAGCTAGTTCCCGGACAGCGGTCCTATACTGTCAGGATACTGACAGGGATCCAATACGCAGAGTGCGGACAGAAGGAGGTACGTATACCGGACCTTAGAATGGCCGGACTAACGTAGGGACAAAGCAAGAATAGTCAAAAGGTAAGCCGAGGTCGAGGGAGCCGGAGGACAGGTAAGCGAGATACAAGCCGAGTCAAAGGAGAGGAGAGGACAACAGGACAAAAGACAAGCAAGGGTCAAAACCGGAAACACAAGATAAAGAACGCGCTGAGTGACTAGCAAGCTAGAACCACGACAGGGCAATGAGCAGTAGTAAAGGTTTCCTTTAAATACCCTGTTACCTAAATAGAGACCACGCCCCCAAAAGGTCCGGAATAGCGGTTCCCGGCACTTTATGTAAATGCCGACGTCATGACGTCGACGCTAGCCGTCGCGTCATAAAAGGGGGAGGAACTAGCGCGGCCGGCGCGAAAACGGCCGGAATATGCCGAAATGCTAGGGGCAGGGAGCCCCTAAACAGAGAGGATGTCTTCCCTGGATTCAGCACCAACAGGTACCCTGACATATACAAGGAGGATGGCCCAGACTCGAGGGATGCAGCCAGGAAGGAAGTCTGGTATGAGGGTATACAGCATCGGCGGGGCGAGAATCTCCCCAGCGAGGAGCAGCGGCTACAGATGCGAGTGGTGATGTGGATGCCTCTACTGGGAGAGCAGCCTCTGGATGAGTGGGTGACAGAACTCGAGAGCCTGGTATGGAAGGGGAGTTGGTAAATTTGCACGTATAAATTAACGTTTCGACCACACAATGGTGTTTATCAAGATCTTGATCTTACTTTACAGGAATTATAGAGTAAGACTGTATATGCAGGGGAGGTGTTTCTAGTATTGCATAAACAAAGTAAATAAACTTCTAAATGGCAGAGAATCGAACAGTGACAGTATAGTGGCATGCTCTTTATACCAAAACTGCTTCTTTAACCCCTTAAGGACCAAACTTCTGGAATAAAAGGGAATCATGACATGTCAGACATGTCATGTGTCCTTAAGGGTTAAACAAGTTGTCTTGGTGTTTCGAGTGTCCCTTTAACACGTAAGCATTTTGTAAGGCTCTTTTTAATTGGTCCACCTTTCAGTATATAAGTTAGATAGATATTAAGTATTGAACAAAATCTGTTCTGTTTTGTATATTGTCCATTCTTAGATTGATTTAAAGGGACACTATAGTCACCAGAACAACTACAGCTTATTGCATTTGTTCTGGTGAGTAGAATCATTACCTTCAGGCTTTTTGCTGTAAACACTGCCTTTTCAGAGAAAATGCAGTGTTTACATTACAGCCTAGTGATAACTTCACTGGCCACTCCTCAGATGGCTGTTAGAGATCCTTCCTGGGTCATGGCTGCCTAAAATGCATCCAAACATTCCGTATCTCCTCTCTCTGCATGCAGACACTGAACTTTCCTCATAGAGATCCATTGATTCAATTCATCTCTATGAGGAGATGCTGATTGGCCAGGGCTGTGTTTGAATCATGCTGGCTCTGCCCCTGATATGCCTCTTTGTCAGTCTCAGCCAATCCTATGGGGAAGCACTGTGATTGAGCTACCACTTCTAATGATGTCAGCAGACTGCTTGGGTTTTTTTTTTTTGAGGCAAACAGCATGCAGAGTTACAGATTCAGGCTTGAATACAGTAAGATTTTGCTATATTTATGGAGGCATGAGGGACCCAGGGGGGCTAGGTTTTAACACTAAAGGGTCAGGAATACATGTTTGTGTTCCTGACCCTATAGTGATCCTTTAATCTCACTGTAAAGAATTTGGTATAGTAATAAAAAAAAAATGTTCTGTGTTAATTAAAAAAAAAAAATTCCATCAGATATCCAGGGCCTTTGCTGTGTCTGCCAGTGTGAGAATAGGAACCGCTTTGGGAGCTGGTGATACCGAGCAAGCCAAAATAGCTTGGAAAGCTTCACTTGTGTGTGTAGGTGAGAAATAAGTTCCTAGTTGACATTAAATATGGCTAATAAAGGATTAAAGGGAACTTGTCATGATTTACCTCACCCTCCACTCCAATGCTGCATTGTCCTTACAGTGGTAGGTGTAATACTTATATAACATCCCCTGCTGTTCTGCCCTCGCTCCTCACAGTCTTTTCATTGATGACACCTCCTCATGCAGGACAAGCCACCTCCATGGTACCAACATGCTGGCTTCATTGCTAACATGGCGGCATCTGAATAGAATAAAGACACTCATGCTGTGCCTATACTCATTAGCCAGGGCTAGCAGAATCAGCTATGGAGTTTCCATAGCAACCACAGCACTGTGCCTGTCATGCACTGAGAGCAGAAGAACCGCCTGTGCGAGAGCTCTTCTGCTCTCTCTTATCAATCAATAAGTAAACTACTCTATACCAAAGAATTGATTGATCGCTGGAAGAAAGGCCTATTTTTAAAAAACAAATATTTTATTTTAAAGAAAAATATAACTGCACAGATGAAATTATAAATCAAATTTAAAAAGAGAAAAAGTGACAGGTAATCTTTTAAGTATTATTTATCTTAAAAATTTCCATTCTCTTTACATTTAAATACATTCTATGAACTTTACATTGAATGAAATTATACATTTTCTCAGTTATTTTCATTTTTTAAATTTAGTTTTCCCAAATCATTTTCTTTGAAAATAACATTTTCTTCCAAATATCATCCATTCAATTCCAAACAAACAAAAAATGTGAGCAAAAATGGGACAATCAGTGTACTGCAAGTTATATACATAATATAAATATTATATAAATGTTTTACACTACACTTATAGGCACATTTTTCAGTCAAAGATCAAGTGACAAAAAGAGGAGGTAAAAGGGGGGCTGATTATGATTTTTTTTTTTAACTGTTCTTCCTTTTTTTCTCTCTACTGGTCACTTCTCACTTGATTTATAAATAACATTAACATTTAGTGGCTGTCCCCTAGCCATCGAGTATCGTTTTTTATTCTTCCAAATCATAAATCAAACGAAGATCCTGTCTACAATAAATTAATTAAACTCATTATGATCTTTTTGTACTCTTGTTTTTTAATTACTCAAGGTTAACACTAGATGCATTCTTAACATGTGGTCTTATTACATTAATATTTCCCATCTCTTTCTCTTGATGCTGAAAGATGCCATAAAAACACAAACTGACTTGGCCTTTTTATCACATTCAAGTTAGAGGATATGAATTATTATTTTTTTTGCCAAAGGCCTACTGGTCAGATTTCTACACTGGTAAAATTTATCCCTATGTAGGTTATTATGCTTAATTTTGATATGGTTTTCCTGCTAAGTTGGTGCATAAAATGTTTGGTTAAAATATTAACAATCACACTTTTATTAATGTATTTAATGTTTTATCATCTTGATTCTCAGTGTTGTTTTATCTGGTGACCGGTATTTTCTGGACTGGGCTGAAAGATTATGTTGCATCCATATTTACCTCACACAGGTTGGTCATGCCTAAACTATAGCAAATACTTGTGTAATAAAAATATTTTTAGATTATTATAAAATGATATGTTTAAACTCTGGTCATTAACCTCTAACTGCAGTATGATCAAAGAATTTTACATTCACATTGTCATGACAAACTACATGGTTATTTACGCTTTGGCCATATTATATAATAAAAATCTTTTTTGTTAAAAATGTATACGTTGTGCCAGTTTTAACAAAGTACTTTAATTTTTTTGAGGAACACTGAGAGTCTTCTGGTGTTTGAGTCAAATTGTTTCCATGGGTCCTCTGGGTAACTGCAGTCCAGCCCCTCTTTGCAGATAATCGTCTAGGGAAGTTTTCCTTCTCTATTATATATATAAATTTGCCCATATTTAGACAGAATTCATTGGCATTTGGCTCACACTGTGAGCTGGCACTCCTCAACCAATAAATACCATCCAAACACACAGATGTTGAAGTAGGAATTTTCACTTTAGCAATATCTGTGAAGAGGAGTCTGACTAGGAGAGTAAATGGTATTCCGTTTGAAACAGCATTAGGGTGTTCTGCTTGAGTGTCCCTTTAGTATGTAGCCAGTCCTCTATGCATGCCGCACACTCATACTGCTTTGTTATACGTCATAATGCATATGTACAGTATTTGAACAAGCTTAACACATCTTTTATTTAAAATTATAAGCAAAAATATAAGAAAATCTGGGAATAAGCCAAATTAAAATGGCTTCAGCTATTTGGTAGTGGAACTTCCACATATCCCTGTAAAGTAGCATTTGCAAGTCAGTAGGGGAGACAGTTGCAGATTAAGAAAGGCAGGTTTTTGTGACAGCATTAAGGTGTAGGGATGAGAAAGTTCAATGGGTATAGCAGATGGTATTTTTTAATATCCTGGTTTTCAGTAAATAAAAGATCAACTGCCAGTAATTATAAAGTTGGTCATTCAACCAACGTACATTCAAATTGTCTTTGCAAAAGTCAACTTCCTAGAACTTTGCAGTTACCAGTGGTTGATTAGCCTGTAAATGTATTTTTTTAAACAAATTTTTATAAATTGCTTAGATGAGAGTGATAATAATATGTGCCCTGGTTAATGTACCCTTACAGCTTTATTCACTAACCTGAAATTTCAAATTACCATTGAAAATTTAAGGTCAAAATCACCAATGTGGAAACATTTTCCAAGTCAGGTATGCTGTCGATACAGTTACTGCATCCTTAAATTTGAAATTAACTTTGAATTCTCACTTTAATAAATAACCCTGTTAAACTTGTGGGGGACACAACAGGAGATCACCTTATTATTATTATTATTATTTTATTATTTATATAGCGCCAACAAATTCCGTAGCGCTGTACAATGGGTGGACTAACAGACACATAATTGAGATCAGACCACTGACGTACAGGAACAGAGCAAATAGCATACTGTATTTTTCCATGTGTAAGGCTATGTTTTTTTTCTAAAAATTTTTAGTCTAAAATTGGGGGTTGTCTTATACACGTAATGTCACTGCAGGGGTTAAAAAACAAAAAACACTTGTGCACGGGCCCTAGGTTAAGATGGTGCCTGCCGCATTTCAGTGTGCCATGGTCCACACACATACCTGGCTTCCCTCCCACTGATCCTCTTTTGAATGCTGTGGCAAGGAGGAAGAGGTTCAAATATGCATGGCAGCCGCAGCATACATCAGCACTTACCATTAACAGAGCTCCAGAGACATGCCACGCCATAAAAGGAGCAACCATATTAAGGTTTGCTTTACTTCAGGTAGGTCTTGCCTGCTGATTTATATTTATGGGGAGAAAATTTGGATCAGGGAGCAGAGGGACTACTACCAGGGCCGGATTAACATAGGGGCTGATGGAGCTGTAGCTCCATGCCCAGGCCCATGGAACAGGCCCAATGATTTTAAAAAAAAAATCTTTTTTTTACACACACAGTACTTTAAGGGTACTTTTAGGGTTGCCAGGTATTTCTCAGAAGTATTTCTTATGGTTGCCAGGTATTTCGGTATTTGAGGCTGCCTAGCCAGTGCCGGTATTGCAGTAATACCGGCAATACAAATGTCTGTCTCAGTATAAACAGAGATTATTCTGCAATACCAGCACCGGCCAGTAGGGGTCACTGTTTGTGTGGAGAGAGGCAGGGATAAGAAGTTACAGCATCTCCCTCCCTGTCTCTCTCTACTCACTGATCCACAAGGGAGCAGCAAAGAGAGTCCAGACAGCAGTTTCAAGCCTGTGAGACATGGAGACGATGAGAGACTTGGGGACGCTGAGACATTTGGACACCCCTAGTCTCTCAGTGTCCCCATGTCTCCCAGCCAGTGTCTCTAGTGTCCCAGTGTGCCTGGTGTCTCCCAGTGTGCCTGGTGTCTCTCAGTGTGCCTGGTGTCTCTCAGTGTCCCTAGCCTCCCAGAGTGCCCATGTATCTCAGTGTCCCCATGTCTGACCCAGTGTCTCAGTGTCCCCAAGACTCACAGTGTCCCAATGTCTCTCAATGTCCCCTAGTGTCCTAGTGACATTGGGACACATGGAGACACAGACTCTAAGGGACACTGGGAGACTTGGGGATACAAACACTAGGGGACACTGGGAGATATGGGGATTGTGACGGTAGTATATGGTATCACCGTCAAGCATTCCTTTCTTCCCATAAAAGAAAATCACCCAATACTCCACAAGTAGAAATATCCCTGGAATCGCTGAATAATCCACACATGAGCCAAGGCTTAATGCTGGAACAAGACTGATTTACTGGCACACAGGACTCACAATTTATGCAATACAAAACTCCTCCTCTGGGCCAGGCTAGATAATTGAGTTTCAACAATACACAAAGCTCAATTATCTGCTGCTTTTTATATTACATACAAACATAATTTTAACATCCCTGGGTAGCTGAGGATACTGGTAGTCATATATCCAAATCTCACGAATTTCCGTTTGGTAGTTTCCGTGTCGCATCGTGTGGAAGTTTGACTGGCTCACCATGTGGAGGTATCTGAGCTAGAGTTCCATAGAATCAGTAGCAAGAGCGGGTCTCTGTTTGCATCTAACTACACGAAAACCACCATTCGTATGGTGCAGCTGGTTACATATGAATGTTCCCCTCATTCGGTAGATTCTATCTACCGAATGCCAGTTTGATTCGTGGAGGGGAATGTATACATCCAGGACTTCAATGAAGACCGGACGTTTGTATGTTTGCCTTGCCGAAAATAGTTCCAGGCAATTCATGCGTACGCCCGCTGACCGCGTTCGTGAGTTTTAAGATGGCCGTCATCCTTTGTTCTCGCCAATGTGTTCGTATGCCGAATGGCGGCCACCCAGGAGCAATCAAGTTGTGGTTTTCTCCCCGTTCTAATGCTGATTGCTACCCAGGGTAGGTGGTCTCGCGTTCGGTAGACGAATACAAGCTTTCACATACATAATCAAACGAACTGAATACAAGCATTTAAACAGCAGGGAGAGGATATAACTGAAGGCACACAGGTAAGTACAAGAGATCCTTCACAAGGATAATGAGACACTAGGGGACACTGAGAGACATGGAGACACAGGGAGATATGAGGCACTCCCAGTGGCCCCATGTCTCCCAGCCAGTGTCCCTAATATCCCAGTATCCCCATGTCTCTCAGTGTCCTCAGTGTCCTCAGTGTACCCTAGTCTCTCAGAATCCCCTAGTCTCCCAGTATTCCCATGTCTCACAGTGCCCCCAAGTGTCTCAGTGTCCCCTAGAATAAAAGAAAATAACCTCAGGCACACACTGATAGATTTAAGCAGGTTTATTGGACACCACAATGTTTTGACCAGTACCCAGGTCTTTATCAAGTCTCCAGTGTCCCCTATATATCACAGTGTCCGCTATGTATGACAGTGTCTCAGTGCCCCATGTCTCAAAGTCACCTAGTGTCCCCATGTCTCCCAATGTCCCCAAGCGTCTCAGTTTCCCTAGGTCTCCCAGAGTTCCCTAGTATCTCAGTGTCCCCATGTCTCCCAGTGTCCCAATGTCTGTCAATGTCCCCTAGTGTTCTAGTGACATGGGAACACTGGGAGACACAGACACTAAGGGACTGGGAGACACAGACATGCCCCCTTTTTTTAACCCTTTTGGAAGTTTTTGTTATGTCATTTGTGTCAGTGGCCCACCCTTTTACCCCACCCACAGACTTCCTACTTTACTGGACACTGCTGTTTGGGGGGTATGGGTTTACTTGAAAGATGAATGCGTGAGATTAGCATAGGGTATGTGTTTTCTAATAGCTGCATCTTATGAGTTTCTCTCCAGCACCATCTCCATCAGATACATGACGCTTAGGAGGTAGGACAGTTTTAGTGTTTTTGGTCAATAAGATTTTGTAATTAGGACCATCATAATTGTCAGCACCAGGCCCACTGGGCTCTTAATCTGGCCCTGAATACTACTGTGATGTCCCAGCATGCACTCATATCACCTGCTGTATTATGGGAGCTGTAGTCTCCCAGCGTGTACTATAGAGCTAGTAACTTCACATCGTAGCACAGGGAGGCATGAGAATCATAAGTGTGTTGTTCTCCTCAGAAGTCACCTCTAAAATACCCAAATTTTTCTATTTAATGTTTAAAATATTGATTTCAGGGCGCGTGGTTTGTCCATCAACCGCATGCCGCATCCCACCCACCCGCTCTATAATTAGCACATAGCAGCAGCAACATGACCCTAATTTGCCACCGAGTCACCTCGCCATGTCTGGTACCGGCTCTGGAGCTAAACCGCCGCTCATGAAGAAGGGAGAGAGAGGGGGATCCTGCAATGCCGTGATGGATCTGTTCATGGCCCCCCGCGCGCTTCAGACCTCGCAAAATGGCCGCCACACCAGCCCACATGGCTTGCAGTCCCCTGCATCCGCGCAGAAAGTGAAGCACAGGACAGCCCTGGCAAAACCTCCCAGATCCTACAGAAACTCTCTGCGGTGAAAATTTATCTGGCAGGGGAGTAAAAGCTGAAAAATCCAAGCTTTAGGTGCACACACCTCTGACCTGGAACACGGCATGGAAACAGTGGTGAGAGCACAGAATACAGCAGTGACACATGCTGACTACATGGCCCAGCAACTGGATAGTTTACAGGTGCAGGTGGAGGACCTCTCAAACCATTCCAGGAGCACTAATCTGCACATAAGTGGCCTCCCAGAATCTCCCAATGAAGCGCCTTTAGCATTATTTTTTATCATATATAATTTGTTCAACACACAACTGTGGTCTCAGACAGTCACACGAGCAAAAATGGCTATGCGTATGCTACTTGGGTGGGATCCTTTTAGCCCATCCCCAATTTGGCCCACTCAGGATACACACCCTAACACATCCCTATGGATACACCAACATTACTACATCGCCCAGGCACCTACAATGAAATGGGAAGGTAAATAGCTGGGGGAGAGGCCACTTCCCCAATAAAAGGAAGTGGAGGGGGAAAAGAAAAAGGAATAAAAACCTGTATCAGGCTGACATATGGTACTCCAGGGAGTGGGGGGCAGGCAGTGGGTGAGAGATGAGGGGCACGGTCACCACTGTCCGCTTGCAGGGATACCCATGCCTCGCCCTGCGGCATTCACATATACACCTCACACCAACATTTGCGCCACCTACCAAGGTCAAAGGAAGAACCTATTCACCATCCTACGGGATGGTCCTCCCACGAGATCACTCCTTTTCTACTAAACTCATACTGAAATGGTGACGTGTCATATATTGTGGGTCGTGCGCATTGTAGCACAGCAGATTGGGGATGGGAGCTGCCATCCTGTAGTGGGAACAATGAGATTCTGACCGGGGAAGGCTTGCACCCCCAGAGTGCTTTGGCAATCCGTAAGACCAGACTGGTCGTTTTCATTGTTTATACACCTCTGTTCTGAGGTTATGTTTCTGTTATGTTTTCCTTTTTCTTTTTTGGTATCTCCCCACGGCATGGGGAACGTTCAGGCTTCTTGTACACTTGCCCTATACAAAAGCATAAAAACTCAATCCCACACACCCAACCTGACTCTACACCTCTGAACGGCACTGCCCAAGCACACACACAATGTTGCTGAAAATACTATCTTTTAATGTAAAGGGGTTGAATAACCCCACAAAGCAGGAGTTGAAGGTAAAAAGGGCTGATCTTGCTCTAATCCAGGAAACATACCTCCCCAGGTCGGCAACGGTCAGGTTGACCAATAGCCAGTACACCAAGGCCTTTGAGGCCAGGGCACTACATAAGCGCACAGGCGTAGCAATCCTCACTCACAAAAACTGCCCCATTCACGTTTTGGGTTCTGTGGCCGACTCTGAAGGTATATTTCCATATCGGGTACCCTACATAACACTAAAATGCACACTATTAATGTATATGCTCCCAACGAACCTGATCCCCAATACTGGAACTCACTTAAGACATTGGCTGGACGGGGGGAAGGCGTACTTATAATAGGATGGGATTTCAATACAGTTTTAGTGTTTTTGGTCAATAAGATTTTGTAATTAGGACCATCATAATTGTCAGCACCACTGGGCTCTTAATCTGGCCCTGAATACTACTGTGATGTCCCAGTGCTGTGTCCAGCAGTTGATAGGAGCAAAAAATCTGGAATGGTTCGGTCCCACGGGAGGGGGTCACAGGACAAACTATTTCACGATTTTCTTGCCAACACCAACCTTCTAGACGCGTGGCGAATCCAGCTCCCTAGCACCCGGGATTTCACATTCTACTCCACAAAGCACGGTACATACTCCAGGATCGACAACATCTTTCTTGATGGGGCGGGTATGGCAAAACATGTGCACTCTGCCATAAATTGCATAACCTGGTCTGACTATGCAGATATCGAGATAATTTTTTACAGACTCAAGTACTCCTCTAACTGGACGTTGAAACTAAACATTAGCCTTCTCAGAGACAAGGGCTTATGTAAGGCCACCAGCACAATCATATGAGAATACTTTACTCACAACATCTCTTCAGACGTAGACCCAGTAGCCACTTGGGCCGCCCATAAGTCGGTCCTGAGGGGCCAATTCATCAAGGTAGCTACACACAAAAAGTGATGCACAACCCACCTCCTATTGGAGCTGCAAGCAGCTCTGAGAAAAGCAGAGCAGCAACACAAAGCAAACCCAACAGGGGTGAATGCGCTGCGACACTCTCTTAAAGAACTTTCCCTGGAGGGGGTGGCTCGCTCCATTCTGTTGTCTCGGTGCTTGTATTATAAAAAATCCAACAAAATGGATACAGTGTTAGCCAGAGTGCTGCGTCCTGGGAGTGGATTTTGATCCATCACTAAAATTCGCACATCAACGTGGGACCTAGCAGACACTCCAAACACCATTAACAAAGTCTTTACAGACTATTATTCGACATTATACAACCATTGCCCAAAGCCAGAGGGGTCTGCCCCTGATGGTTGTGCAGACCTACACTCATTCCTGTTGGACCTAGAGTTGCCGCAACTCACGGGACCAGAGGTGGGGACCTTGGGTGCAGCCATCACACCATTAGAAGCTACCACGGCCCTAAAAGGTAATAAAGCCCCAGGACCGGACGGATATGACATGTGGTATTATACAAAATTCAGGGAAGTACTGGCCCCCAACTCACTACCCTTTTCAAGGGACATGGCGCTAGCAAACATCACATTATTACCAAAACCAGATAGAGATGAGGAACTAGCATCCATCTCCCTGATCAATTCAGATCTAAAGAACTATGCCAAAATTTTGGCTACCAGACTAAATCTGCTTTTGACACACTTGGTCCACCCTGACCAGATGTGGTTTGTGCCAGACAGCTCTACGAAAATACTCGAAAGGGACCTGTACTGACATGGTGCATGTCAGGCTTGAGAGGGCCTTCACTGGCACTGTCCTTGGACGCCGAGAAGGCCTTTGACAGGATGAAGTGGCCGTACCTCTTAAGCCTTCTCCGGGCATGGGGCTTTTCAGAACTCTACTTGGTGGGGATCTAGGCCCTATACACAAACTTCAGAGAACAAACACTGATAACTGGGGCCCATTGCACCCCTTCCCCTTGAATAATGGCACAAGGCAGGGTTGCCCCTGTCCCCACACTCTCCCTGGAGCCGTAATTGCAGGCCATCCAACAGCATTCACACATACGGGTGGGTGGGTGGGTGTAGCTGGACGACAGTTCAAAACATCAGCGTATGCTGACATCCTTCTTACACTCACAGACCCACTCAGCTCCATGGAGCACCTGACTAAACTGCTAGATCACTATTGAGACCTGTCTGGGTATAAAGCCAACCTGGCTAAATCCATGGCAATGCCCTTCCACCTTTCAGCCCCAGACATGGCACAGATCAGTGACACATATAAGTTATGCTTCGTTGACAGCACCCTGACCTACCTAGGCATTAAACTTACAGCTGACCACACACAGTTATACAACCACAAGTACCTGCCAACGCTCTGCAGCCTGATCCAGAACCTGGAGAAATGGACAGAAAAGCCTATCTCATGGCTAGGCAGACTTCACTCAGAGAAGATGAATATTCTCCCCAGGCTGTTGTTTCTCTTCCAAGCCCTACCAGTGCTGGTCATGAGAGGGGATTTGGCGGGGTTACAAAAGGCCATAGACACATTCATCTGGCAGAGGAAGCGCCCCAGAATTGTGCCTAAATTGCTATACCGACCCAAAAATAGAGGTGGGTTGGGGTTGCCGAACATGTACCTCTACTACTTAGCCTCACAACTAGCCCAAATTGTGCACTGGCACTCTCCCCCAGACCACAGGAGCTGGGTAGATTTTAAACCTCTTCTGATGGGAGCTGACCTTCCCCAGTTCTTTATATGGTTACCCAAGGAGAACAGGGCCTTTATACGCACTACTTGCCCAGCGATACTAAATTTGATCAGATTATGGGACCAGGTAGCACAAAAGTACTCACCAATCTCCAATAACGCTGTAACAGGGCCTTCCCCCCGGGATACATGCTAGAGACTTTAGAGGGATTGAACACACAGGACTCCAAAGATATATACACTTGTATGTCGACGAAGCCCCAGTCACGTTCGATAAGCTCAAGGAGCTCGCCCCACTATCCAACAGGGACTACTTTAGGTACCTACAAATAAGTGACTTTGCATCCAAACCAGAGGTGCGAGCAGCAGCTGCCCGCCCACTCACATTTTTTAAGCAAATGTGCTTTCAAGAAAAGCAGCCAAAAATCCTCAGGTCTTTCCTGTACAGCCACCTCAGTGTGGAGGCTAACCAATGGGAAAACCTCAGATATACCGATCTGTGGGGGCCGACCTGGACGAGGTACTGGAGGGCACGGATTGGCAAGACATATGGGAGGCATGCGCACAGTCCTCCATCTGCGTAACCCTCCAAGACCAATTGTTTAAAACACTGTTTCGGTGGTACACCACCCCACTCAAACAACACCATGTGAAACTTAGCCCCACTGACATCTGCTGGCAATCCTGTGGTGAAAAAGGAACCTACATACATATGTGGTGGAAATGCCCCACAGTCAGTCTTTTCTGGAAGTGAGTGGTAGAGCTAAGTCCTAAAATATTACAAAGAATGCTAGATTTAGACCCATGGGCATGCTCACTATCCAGGCCTACTGATAGACTCCCCCACCATGAACAGAAACTACTCGACAAACCCTGGCACCGAAGTGGTTGAACACTGAACCCTCCTCCCTATCACTGGTAGTGGCCAAAATAAAAGACAGCTATCTTATGGACAAGATAACATCACAGCTCCGCAATACGACTGCCACCTTTCAGAGGGTATGGGACCTGTGGGAGCTATACACAGAGGAGATGGGATTGTAGGTTGTGAGAATAATTACACATAATGACATACAACAACCCCCCCGTACCATGGGATTCTGAGATTCTACTATTCTATCCCTTCCATTAATTTAATTACCTTCCTTACCTTTTGACACTGTGTCGGTATGGTCTCTTATATAAGGTATGGTAAGACTGCAGTCTGCATCCTGCTTCTACGCCATCTGCACATGCACCTCACAGACAGGGGAGCTCACTATACTTCTACTCCGCACCTCACTGACTCCTGGGCTTTTCCACACTACAGCCATTTATGGCTATTGACATTGGCTCTAAGTGATTCCAAATGTCCCTCACCACTTAATACCTACACACAAATACAGTTAGCACTGATTTGACCGCACCACACTGCCGCGTTCATCCTTGTAAGCAACAATCTTAAATGTTTCATCAGAAAACACTAATAACAAACCAAAAAGAAAATGCAAATGAATAGAAACTGTGGCATTGGGAGCGGTGGTACGAATGAACTACGGCTGGCACCTACATTCCCCGCATAGTGAAGTGCACACACCCCTAATGGCCATACTGCTGGGACTTATCTTACCTATTTTCCTACCTTTCTGTTATACCTTTATTATTCCTATGCTTAAACAAAATACTTTGACAGTTGGTCCTTGCTTTTCTCACAAAGGGATACATGGTCTGGAATACCGTAACAAAGGTTCTTTTACAATCTGTTGCCTGTAATATTGCATTGTACGCTATATATACGATACCTGTAAGTACCTTCCAACCTCAGTGTATCCTATCATTGAATACTGTCATCGCAAAAATAAAGATTTAAAAAAAAATAAAAAAAAAAAATATTGATTTCATAACTTTGGGCTAAAAAAGTAGGGGTTGTCTCCCCTAGTGGGGGCGTGTTATATACAGACAAATATGGTAATTTGCGCCATTTGGCCCATTGAAAATACTACTACTAATATTACTAATAACCAGTAATATTACTTTTTGCACCTTTGATGTATTCTTCTCACCTTTTAGCTCTGATTGTGTTTCTTGTGTGATCTGGTAGCGAAATCCCTAGGTAGGTGCCGCATTTTAGCGAAATGCTGCACATGCAGACTTCAAATCACTGAAGTGGTCATGGTGCTTGGAGTAACCCTTTAATAGTTAAGGAACATAAACATAATATTTCTAATGTATTATTTTTTGCTTTGTTTTAGAGAAACTGGAATCCTGGTATCACAGCTCATGCTAATATTTGCTCCATTTAATGTATTTGATGGTATTGCTGTAAGTATGAATTCATGCACTATGATTAGAATACGTAAATCAAAAAGAATGACATAATACTTGCTAATATTTCTTATTATTTTAGTACACGTCTGGTGGGATATTAAGAGGATCTGGAAAACAGTTGATTGGAGCAGTGCTGAATGCAGTTGGCTATTGCATCATTGGATTACCCGTGGGAATATCATTGATGTTTGCTGCAAAACTTGGTGTAATAGGTAGGCTCTGTGACTGCTGCATATTTCATAATGCTATACCTCCAACAAGTCCCCATATAGGAGGGACAGTCACTGTTTTCTATTCTAATGTCCCTCTTTTCTAGGAACTCTATATTGTTTGTGTGTCAGGTTCTACCGATATTAATTTTTTAGGGCCGATACCGATAATATGTGACCTTTCAGGTCAGTAACTGCTAGCAATAATTATTCCCTGCTCCCTGCCTTTACCTACTGCCAGCAAGGGGAACATTACACTTCCTGGTGGTCCAGTAGCTTTTCATTCCTCCATCCCTGCCTTTTATCTGTGGCCAGGGAGAGGGACATTTTAATCCCAGTGGCTTTGTGCAGGCCGCTAGGGGGTTTCACGTTGTAGAAGGGGTGGCTGGGATCCAGCACACACTATCTTCTGTTTCTGGCTGATCCTCTTTCCAACTCTTGCAAGCCTGGTTTGTCGCATGGGGGCTTGCAAGATTTGCAGAGAAGAGCTTAAGGGCATCAACTGCCACCGATAATGATATTTGCCATAATGCTAAATATCGGCCAATAATATCGGCCAGACCAATAACTTGTCCATTCCTAGTCTGAGTGTACGGTTATGACCCTAGGAGCAACATATGGGGAGCACATAAGATACAACAGTCAAAACTGAGAGGGCACTAATAATTTTAACTAGGGCATAAGGTAATGTGCCGCCATTGGCTGTCAGACAACAACTTTGGACAGAATTCACATTAGCCACCTGGAATTTTTGTTTTGGGCTCACTGATAATACCTCTTTATTTAGGTCTAGGCTTAAATTCCCTCACTGTGTTAACCTCTACCACTTCCCTAGTGCGTCCACTACCCTCTCTATAAAGTAATACTTTCTGAAATTATTTCTAAACCTTTGCCCCTCTAATTTAAGTTTGGTTTGCTGATCATTACATCATGCCCCTGCAGTCTCAATGATCAATTCTCTACAATGTATGAGTTAAATCACTTTGTTTATACAGTCCTCGTCACACCTCCCTGCATGTGACTTACACAGCCTTCATAAACACTTCATGTAAAGAGAGATCTAATGTTTACATTTCCTTTATTGCACAGTCTGTTTAATTAATTTATGTATTTATTTATTTTTTATGACACTCAGAGTTAGAAATGATAAGCTAGTCAGCTTTTTATTGTGTATCACCATGTCAATTCCTCAGTGATAAAAAAAGTGATTAAAATATTTATGATGCTGAAAGGAATTGTTAAAAGGGTAGGAAAATTAAAGTGACTGTTTTATTTGCTGCAACCTTTGTTGTTTTTCACCCCCTCCTTCCCTGTTTTCCCACCCTTTTTCCCTCTTCCCCTCAGTTTAGTTTTCCTTTCCATTATCCAAAACTTATTTTAAATCTAATAAAGTAATAAAGTGTAATTCTATTAAAAATATCTATTACAAATACGTTGATGTAGAAAATCAAACTCCATTCACACAACCATTCATACCTGTTCCGGTTTGAGAGTAGAGGCGTTAGTTGGAAGGACTCTCAGGCAAGTCTGTACCAGAAGCCAGTGTCATTATATAACCCCAGGTTCTCAAGACTAACATATACAGCTTTCTCCATGAATCTCTGATAGTTAATCTGTGAGGCAATTTCAGTCCACTTAGGCAACGCCTTAAATCTCCATTTTCTCACCAAACAGATTTTGGTGGCCATTAATATATGCACAATTAGCATTCTATTTCTTCTTCCAATTTGGGGAAATCCTAATGGAACAAAAAGAGTTGGGGTTAGTTTAATATAGGACTGTGTTAAACTTGTAAGTTCATTTCCTAACTTGACCTTCAAAGGTAATAGGCAGGTACATTCCCACCATATATGCCGTATAGTTCCAGTTTGCCTCTCGCATCTCCAACAAAGATCACTAATGTTGGGTTGAAACTTACTTAACCTATCTGGTGTCAGATACCATCTGTGTAATATTTTGAGAAAATTTTCAAACAACGAAATACTATGAATAGTTTTTTTTTTGTCAGATTTAAAGCGGGAACCCATTCACTGGATACAAATTCTGTGCTCAGCTCCCTTTCCCATTTCAGAATCCCACGAAGCTTTGTACCCGTTTTGCTTATATACAATAATTCTCTAATCCTAGAAGACAAATTGGAGCAATTATCTAGGTCATAGAGTTTTTCCAGCTTATTACCGCTCTTAATTTCCCTATTTTTAAAAAAAAGTTTTTTAATTTAATGTAAGTAAAGTATTCTTTGCTGGAAATTCCATAATTTGTACATAGAGTAGTGAATGGTCTAAAAATCACTCCGTCAAATAGGTTTCCAATATATACAATGCCAGCTTTTACCCAACTCCTTATATTTATATTATCAAATATAGGGACAAAGCTTCTATAGGAGCATCCAAGGAGATACATTCTTTACTATTATGCTTCCGTCTTACAAGATGGGTACCATGATAAATTTCACAAAAATACTCTATTTTCCACATTAAGTCATTTTATACCCAAATTATCTGCCCAAAGCAAGAAAAAAGGGTTCTTGTTGGATACAACTTGTTTTTCATAACCTAACCATAAACAATTTTCTGGGACCTTAAATTTACATTTAATCAAATGAGATATCATTATGAAGTCATAAATCAAATATACATTGGGGAGGGATGTTCCCTCATCTTTTAATTTGTGGGACACATTTGTGGAGAAAATTCTGGGTCTACTCCTCCCCCATACAAATGTAATAAATAATTCATGGAATTCGTGTAGCATACGTTTGGATACTCCTACAGGAAGAGTTCTTAATAGGTATTCCAGTTTGGGCATTAAACAAGATCGTACTCCGTTTATTCTCCACAGCCATGATATATATAAATTCCCTCATTTATTTATGGTAAGTTTGTCCTGATAGTTCGTTATAATTATTGTTTACTATCTTAAACCAAATAAAACTTAATTGTATCCCCAAATAAAGCATTTTATTCTTAAACTGATTAAATGGGTAAGAATGTCCCAATCTATGTAGTTGGTCAATTGGGACACTAGAGTGAATTACTTGTGTCTTTTTTAAATTTAATTTATAGTTAGAGATTCGACCAAATTCATAAATGCATTTCAAAACTGCCAACAGAAAGACTTCTGGATTAGAAAGTGTCAGAACTACATTATCTGCATACAACTTGATCTTTGAAGTCTGGTCGCCATAGTAAATTCCCCGGATTTCCTCCTCCTGTCTTATATAAGCTGCCAAGGGTTCTATTGAAAGTGCAAACAACATTGGGGACAAAGGGCTCCCTTGTCTCGTCCCATTAGCCACCCCAAACCATTTTGAGTTTCCCGAGACCATGGCAGATAAAGCAGTGTATAGACTCATAATCCTATCCAGTATAGGCCCTTTGACTCCAAACACCTTCAAGATATCTGACAGATAGTGCCAGCTACCTCTGTCAAAGGCCTTTTCGGCATCCAGTGCCACAAAGGCCACTGAGGAGGAAATAGATTAGAAATAGATAGGGAACAGATTTAACAGTTTGCAAACGTTATCGCAAGGTCCTTAACAAATCCTGTTTGATCAGGATGAACTAATTTGGGAATGAAATCCTTTAATCTCTCCGCCAGGATCTTGGAAAATATTTTAATATCGGTATTCAACAGGGATATGGGGCAATAGTTAGTGACAAACTTATGATCTTTGTTGGGTTATACAGGCTCGTAGCATTTCCAATGGGAATGGGCAACCCTTATCTATTTCTCTGTCATGCGGTAACACTTCCGGGTTCGGCACTCCGCTGTGACGAGCCGGACCCCGCCCCCCTCTGACACAGTTCTGATGGTATTTAGGGAGACCGCGCCAGAGAGAGGGGGCTTGGTGAAACTGGGAGCTACTTCCGCCTGACTTACCTCTCCACAGGCTCTGGCAATATGGGTCCTACTTCCAAGTATGCACGCCAGCTCCTGGGACACGCCGGCTCTACAAGCTCTGATGTTGTCCTAGAATTCTGGGCTAAGAAAAGTATACTTCATGCCATAGAGGATTACTGGAGAACAGAAACTCACTTACTTTACAAGTGGACCATACCACTGAACTATTGGAGGACCACTCACATTAACCTTAAGTATTAACCTTAAGTATATCTTTCAGCTATTTGTCTACAATATCATTTAATAATGAACTAATGCTTGCTTACTAAATCTTCACTGCTTCAAGCTACTAATTATATGGAGGACAACTCCCATCATGCTTATTCACAATGAACTGTTTCTTGCTTTGCAAATACACGCAGTACTTCAAGCTACTAATTGTATGGAGGACAACTCCCATCATGCTTATTAACTATGAACTGTTCCTGCTTTGCAAATATTCTCAGCTACTTGCTTAAAGTTACTATTGAAGATTATTCTCATTAACCTAAAGAATGTTACTTAATGCATCTTTGAGGAAATACTTATTAATGAACTTGTGTTGTTGATTACTTGCACTTCTTCTTATTGGATTATTGCCTAAATGCAATTCATTTAAGTTTAACACTTATTAAAACTTCGTTTGAATCAAGTTACCAGCAATTCTCTCTTTTCTTAAAGCTACAGTATTGATACTTTAAAGATTCTCCCTTTCTTCACTATTGTAATTAGGGAGTTTTACAAGCTGCAGTTGAGTTCCAATCCAAATCACCCGAGTAGCGTAACATTCTCCAAATACTTTTAGTAAAATTGGAGCTATGATAGGCTCCATTATCTTATAGAATTGGGCTGTGTAACCATCCGGCCCTGGGGATTTTTCCTCCTTAAGGTCTTTAATAGATTTAGAGAACTCATCCAGGTTCAGAGGAGGACTCAATTTCTTCAAATCCTCCTTGCCCAGTCTTGGTAATTTAAATTTTTTGAGAAACTCGCGGCTTGCTTCTGAGGTTGCCCGTTCCGATCGGAGATTATACAGAGCCCTATAATATGAGGCAAAAGCTTTACCTAAATCTAATGGAGAGATATTAACTTTGTCTGCCTCAATTATCTTCCTAATTATATGGCTTTTTTTAAAACTTAAGTCTGTCCGAAAAATGCTTGCTTACTCTATTATGCCCATGGTACTAACGTTTGGTTCAATTTTATTATGGCGTTATTTCTTATTTCCAATTGGGTCTCCCTGATTTGAGCTGATCTCAGATCTGTAACCATTTTTCTATTTCCTGCTCCAATTTAGCTAAAACAATATGCAAATCCTTTAAATCTTTCCCACAGGATTTCTTGCGTTGGACCACCAACTTAATTAGAATACCTCACATGAAGCTTTTGAAGGCACACCATAGTGTGCCTCCATTGACCTCATTATTGTCATTATTAAAAAAAAAAAAAATTCTTCAACCTGTCTTAGCAGATACTTCTGGGTTTCATCCGAATGTATAAGTTCGTCATTCAACCTCCAGGAAGTTCTGCCCTCCCTTGGCCCATTTTCCTCTATCTGTACAAGTATTGGGGCATGATCAGACCTGGTAATTTTTGATTTCCAAAATGCAACCAGGTTGCAGCTTTTAGTTAAAAATTGATACATTCTTGAATAAGATTTGTGAACTTTTGAAAAAAGTAAAATTGCGATCGTTAGGGTGTTGTGTCCTCCAGATGTCAAATAGGCCGAATTAATGCAGAACTTCCTGGAAGGAAATACTATTCATCTTACTTCGTTCTGACTCCTTCATGCAATATTTTGATGTTTTATCTGCTTTTATATCTTGTATCATATTAATGTCCAAAACAATCAACAGGATTCCTTTTTTGACCTGATCTAATTTAGAAAATATTTTTTTAAAGAACTTTTGAGAGTATACGTTTAGAGAGGAAACATTAAGAAGGGTGTAGCACATGCCATTTATATTAAATACCATTATCAAGTATCTTCCTTCGGGATCTTTTAATTCCACAATCAGCTCAAATTTTAACCATTCTGCAAGGATAATTGCTACTTCTTTTTTCTTTTTATTTGGAAGACCCGAGGGAAAAAAACCCTTAAGAAATCTGGTAAAATGCCATCAATGTGCTCCACCAGTCTTCCAATGGGTCTCCTGCACAAAGCATAAATCAAATTTGTTTTTTACTATAGAGTCATATAAATAGCCTCTTTTTTGAGGTGTATTGAGACCCTGTGCGTTGATTGAAAAGACTTTTAATATCGTCTATACAGAGCCAGGCGAAGTCCCCGCTGCCAACATCTTACATAACCCGGGACAAGACATTCACATGCACAGACAATATTACATTCATCCTTACTGTCTTAAGACAATGTCTAAATAGACAGAATCCTAGCCTATATTTCTATCTAGGCTAAATCACAGTTGCTGACAGGATCGGGGTGGAGTCTAATGCATTCAATGTACCTTCCCAATCTACCTCTTCCAGAGAAAAATAAATACAAAATAAAAAAAAAAACACTTTTCCGTTTGCAAATTTCTTGACTTTTCTGAAGTAACATCGCTCATATATTGTCATGTTCCTGAGCAGGTCAGAGAGGAGACGATTGCCAGGGTTATTGGTTGAAACTTTATTTGTTTTTTTAGACATACAAAATTTACTTGAAAGAAAGAATTAAGGCAATATGCCACAAACAGGATACTTTGAGAGTAAAACAGAATAAAGGCAATATGCCACAAACAGGATATCTTGAAAGTAAATTAATAAAGTATTTTATATACAAGTAGGTTTGATGTTATTCCCAAGTAGAGTAGTAATCTGTGGAATGTCACACTGCAGCCAGGTTCAGGATGATACAGGGTTGAATAGTTAAAGCTCGTTAGTACTTTCAGCATAATATAGTAGAGGTTACTTAAAGGATTATGCAGAGTTGCAGCAGTTGAGACAGGTAAGTAGATTCCAGTATAATGTAATACAGGTTGCTTACAAGATCATGCAGTGTTGCAGCAGTTGAAACAGTTAAGTAGATTCCAGTATAATGTAATACAGGTTGCTTACAGGATCTTGCAGAGTTGCAGTAGTTGAAGATAAGAGTTTCAGGAGGATTCCGGCGATGGGACACACAAAGTCTCAATAGAGGATCAGGATGTTTTCAGGAGCCAGGATCCAGGATGTTTTCAGGAGCCAAGATCAGATTTTCTATGTCAGAACACTGACTTCAATGTAAAGGCCATGTGAAGAGTTGGGTGTGGCCTTTTATAGCAGACTTGGAAGATCATATGAGACAGTTGAGAGCAACTGAGGATTGACTAGTGGCCAGGAAGGCCACTAGAGGTGAGAAACAGGTATAATAGACTTTCTTTTTCCTTCTCTAAATTTTTTTGTGATAAATTCTAAACCATATAAAGTCCGTTCCAAACATTCATTGATTCAAAGTACTAAATATGTGTTAAGTGCTGATTTATTAAGCAAAAAAAAACCCTCCTTTTACAATTATTAATTTTACACATATTTCTTCTTAAGTAGAAAGTCCCTCTTTGTTTCTTAAAGTTATAGTCATATCCCTAAATTTCCTTCTGTTAGTCCTTGTAGCCAGCGAAAGGTCAGGAAAGACATAGAGGATAAAAAATTTAGAGCCCCTTGTTTTAGGGTACTGAGCCTTCCTTATGAAAGAGTCTTGTAACCCCTTAGTGACCAGGCCATTTTTCAATTTTCTTACTGTTAAGGACCACATTTCTGTGGTGTTTGTGTTTAGCTGTCATTTTCCTCTTACTCATTTACTGTACCCACACATATTATATACCGTGTTTCTCACCATTAAATGGTCTTTCTAAAGATACCATTATTTTCATCATATCATATAATTTACTAGTAAAAAAAAGTAAAATATGATGAAAAATGGAAAATAAACACAGCTGGCCATCATGCACCCATGTCCCATTTGGGACATTTTTTAAGCCGGCCAATGTAATTTACCCCCGTCAAACCATATGTTTTTGAAAAGTAGACACCCTAGGGTATTTCAAATGGTGGTATTTTAACACTTTCCATGCACTAATTCTACCACTAGTCTCTGTCAAACGTTTGGGTAGTAATTTTTTTGTGTTATTTTTCACACACATTCTACTTTAGGCATAGATTCTCAGCTCCTGTTAGGTGGTACTGACAAATATGTGTTCAGCAACATGGCCTGAGTACAGCGATACCATCTATGCATAGGTTTTTTTGGGTTGTTTCGGGTGTGCAAAGCCAAACGTCTGACATGTGTTTTTCAAATTTTACATATCTTCTTTGCCTATCTTCTTTTTGGGGGCCTTTTCAGATATCCCAATTTATTTTCTTGCCATGAGCGTGCATATATTTAAAAAGTTGACACCCCATGGTATTGTATATGGACTGTTTTGGTGCCTTTGATGCAATCGTTGTAGTCAAAAAATTGATTGTGTGTGGTGGTAATTGTTCAATTTTCATTTTTACACACACATTGCTTTTTGACTGTGATTTAGGAGAGCCTGTTGTTGGTTACTGCAAGAAAACACTCCAGGTTGTTTTCTGCAAGGCCTCCTTAGTACACCCATGCCCCCCATGCACAGGTTTGCCAGGATTTTGGGAAGGTACAGTTACAATTGTATGACTTGTAATTTGAGTTGAAATTGAGAGTATTTCTTCAGATATTCCTATCTTTAGCTTGGGGCTTATCACATACGCCAGTTTTATTTATTGCCATGAAAGTGTATATATTTGAAACATAGACACACAGAGGTATTGTATATGGAGTGCTTTGATGCAACTGTTTTAGTCAAAAAAATTGAAGAAAGTGTGTGGTGGTAATTGTTCAATTTTTATTTTTACACACACATTGCTTTTTAACTGTAATTTAAGAGAGTTGTTGGTTATTGCAAGAAAACACTCCAGGTTGTTTTCTGCAAGGCATCTTACAACATCCATCACCCTTCCTGCATAGGGTAAACGTAAAAAAAACAAAAACTGAACGGCAAATGTTAAAAAGCAGTCCCCAATGCAGTCTAGGCTGTCCAGGGACAGGGATATACATAATCTTTTCTCTGCCCCCTCTTAAAACAGACTCCGCATCTTTTTGGGGGATTCTGCTTTGCCGCAGGAGGGGGAATTTTAAAAATAAAATGTGTAGCCCCAACTTTGCTCTTTCCCATCACCACCCGGGGAGCAGGTGCATCACGGTGCTAAATCCCCAAAATGTTGTGGGTTGCAATCTGCATTAGGTAGATTGCAACCTTTTTGTACCAGGCCCTTGTCTTTCGTATAATTAGGTAGGGCTGCAGCAGCTGATCTGCCAGATCAACCCCACCCATATGCCGGTTATAGGCCTTGATGCAAACTGGCTTCCTTGTGCACTCAGCTCTCCCACGTACAGAGACCTCCACAGTCCCCTCAGTGTGGATGGTGGTAAGAAGGTACACATCCTTCTTGTCTCTGTACTTAACTGCCAATAGCTCCTGTTGGCGCAGAGCTGAGGTCTCCCCCCTTCGTAGCCAGGTGCGTGCAAGTTGTCCTTGGAAACCTGCGCTGTTCTTTTTGATTGTACCGCAAGCTACTGTATACTTAGCAATAATTAGTATAAGTTTTCAAGATACATGCATAATCAAATAGCTTTTTAGCAACAGTATCCAGCAACAAAAAGTTAGATTCATTTCCAAAGTAGTTGCATGCAAAATTACAGATAGTTCCTCTACAATTTAATTGTTATTTTATAGATACAGATTTCAGCAATGTTATAGCTCAGTTTTAGAAATCTATTTCACCCAGAATGTAACACAGAGATAGCAGCACAGCTCAAAGTCCTAAAAACTAGATGCTGACAGGCAGTTACAATCACACAGATAATTAACTCCCTCACTGCTGGCCACAATTCTCACAGGCTAAACACTTAAACATTGCAAACAAGGTATACAATGTTTCTCACACAAATATCATGGTCCGTGCAGCTATCAACCTGCTGCCCCGATGGTTGAAGACGTGGGCACACCAGATGATGCTGGCTAAGAGTTCTGTCCTCGACAGCTGGGGTCCTTCATGACTGCAATGGATTCGCAGTGCAAGACCACTGTGACACAACTTGCTCCATGTCCCAGAAGATCTCAGGTTCCCAGAAACAGGGAGACCCTGTACCAACGACACACCCCCTTGTTGCCTCTTTATGATCCGGTTCCAAGGGTGACTCCAATGGACAAAGAGGAACCTATGGAGATTGGTGTCATCTGCACCAGGTTATTTTCCAAGGAAAGAGACCATAGGAGAAGCAGCAGTCTTGGTTTCAATTGTGGAGAAAGAGGGCATTTTATCACACTTTGCCCAGCTCACCCACCTAGGCCAAAAGCTCTTCTATTGGATACCTTATGGACCTGTTATCTACTAAGCAGCATGCTATTTTGCTGTAAAAGAGTTTGGTTAAAGTCAGGGTTAGATCTCAGGAAACCTTCACTACACCAGGTATGTTCCAGCGTTATGTTAACCAACAGCTACAATCCAAACAAGAATGTAAAGTGGCTGCTTAAGATGATACTGACCAAGCTGTACACTATTTACTATTAAGGTGGCTTGTCAAATCAAGGTTAAATTTCACAGTACTTCAATCTCCAACTATATTCCTGACAGAGGTGTAGTGTTTCTCCATGACTTGCACCACATTTAACTTGGTGACATTATTCCCTTATTGTGCTCAAGGAAAAGAAAAAAAGCGAGTTTACGAACAGAATCCTAAACTTATCTAATCTGTCAGCAGTCCCAGGTGTAGGATCTACTAGATGCTCTAGATAGATCTCTATTTTGCTAAACCGGTGTTTCGCTGGAAGTTTAATATTTATGTGACCTGCAGTCTGCTAGCAGCATTCCTTAGCTGCCATGGTGTGCTCCCTCCAAGCTGTTTCAGCATTCACCATTACTGGCTCTTCCGATTACCCCTCCTCCATGCATGCAACGTCAGCACATCCTACATTGACGCCCTTCCTCCAATGGAACCCAGTCTGTTTAATTTAGAATTTTATATCTCATGCATGATTAATAGCTTGTTAGATCTTGCAGAAGCCACCTGTGTGTGATTAAAGTTAAATTTAACAGGAGATAAAAACTTCGAAAGTAAATTAACATTGGATTGAAAATGAAACCACTTTATTCATGTACGCCGTGTGAGTCACAGCCAGGGGAGATGTGTCTAGGGCAGCATTTCCCAATTGGGTTCCGCTGAACACAAACTAGTGTTCCGACCCAAAAAATTGAAAATAAAATGGTCGCGGGCGGCGAGGGAGCAGTGAGCTCTTTGCTCAGCTCCCTCACACGCATAGCAGTGATGCCGGAGCCGGAATATGATGTCACCCCGGCTCCGGCATCACTAAGATGCGCGCGAGGGAGCTGAGCAGAGAGATCAGAGCTCCCTTGCTGCCCGCCTCCACTGCTCACATGTCTGTCCCTCGCCGCCCGCCAAGCTGCAGCCATCCCCACTGGACCACAGGGACTTCATGCCAGTAGCCCCACTGGACCCCAGGGACTCCATGCCAGCACTCCTAAAGGTAGGGGGGGCTGGGTGGAGTAAAATATTTAAAAAAATAAGTTGTATGTGTGTCTGTTAGGGAGTTTGTATGTGTTTGTGTGTTTGTCAGTGGGAATGAATGCATGCTTGTCAGTGAGTGTGTGAGTGTATATGTTTGTCAGTGAGAATGTATCTGTTCTTGTCAATAAGAGTGTATGTGTGTTTGTATGCAGGGCTGCCATCAGGGGGTGACAACCATGACGGTTGTCACGGGCCCGGCAGCCCTATGTGGCCTGGCTGCCCGGGCCCCATGTGTTGCGGCGGAACAGTCGCACCGGGGCCCGCACGCTGATGGGGCCTATCGGGTGGCCCACACACTTAGGGCCACCCAATGGGCCCTATATCTTCAGTAATCACTTCCTCCCAGCAGCACTTGTGTTGCGGCTGCGTTTTTTTTTTTAAAGGGGCCCGGTCGCGCTATTACACGGCCGCAGCACTGACTGGGCCAATTTTAAAATTAAAAAAAAAACGCAGCCGCAACGCAAGTGCTGCTGGGAGGAAGTGATCACTTCCTCCCAGTTCACTCCGCGTGGGAGGAGAGCCAGCGTGGACTTAAAGAGGGAGAGCCGCACCGACCCCCATCAGCCCCAACCACCCTCCTGCAAAGACAAGGTAAAAAACAGGAGGGTGGCTGAAAAATGAGCTAAGTGTGTATGTGTCTGTCTGTCTGTCTGTATATATGTATGTCTGCATGTCTGTATAATGGGGCAGTATGTATGAATGTATGTATGTCTGTCTGTATGTATGTATGCCAGTATCAATGTATGTCTGTATGTCATTATGAATGTATGTCTGTGTGTGTGTATGTCTGTATGTATATGTATATATATGTATGTCTGTATGAATGTATGTCATTATGAATGTATGTGTGTGTGTATGGATGTCAGTGTCTGTATGCATGTATGTCAGTACGCATGTCTGTATGTCAGTATGAATGCATGTATGTATGTCATTATGAATGTGTGTATGGATGTCAGTGTCTGTATGTATGCATGTCTGTATGTATATATGTATGTGTGTATGTATGTATGTGTCTGTATGTCCTTATGCATGTGTGTCTGTATATATGTTAGTATGTGTCTGTCTGTTACTATGTATGCTTGTGTGTCTGTATATATGTGTATGCCTATGTATATCTGTGTATCAGATACATATACACACTGACACAGAGATACATACACACTGGCGCATACAAACACAAATATACACACCTTGACACACACCGGCATATACAAACACAGATACACTCACCTTGACACACACCGGCACATACAAACACAGATACACACACCTTGACACTCAGATAGATACATACACACACACACACACACATGCACACTGTGTGTCAAGGTGTGTGTATCTATGTGCCACTATCTGCCAGTGTGTGTATCTGTGTGTCAGATTCATACACACTGGCACATACAAACACAGATACACACACCTTGATACACACACTTTGAAACATAGATGCACGCACCTTGACACACAGATAGATACATTCATACATACACACAGAGACACACTGTGTGTCAAGGTGTGTATCTGTGTCAATGTGTGTATTTGTGTGCCACTATCTGCCAGTGTGTGTATCTGTGTGTCGGATTCATACACACTGGCACATACAAACACAAATACACACACCTTGACACACAGATACACACACCTTGACACACAGATAGATACATACATACATACACACACACACAGATACACACTGTGTGTGTGTATCTGTGTGCCAGTGTGTGTGTGTGTATCTGTGTGTCAGATATACAACTGGCACATACAAGCACAGATATACACATATACACACCTTGACACACACCGTCACATTAAAAAAAAAAAAAAGGAGCAATTGTATTTTTTTTTTTCAGGGGTGGGTGGGGTTCAACAATGTTGATACACAATGTCAAAGGGTTCCACAGGAAAAATTAATTGGGAACCCCTGGGCAAGCAATAATATCAGTAATAAAGTACAATTATTGTGTTTACAAATCAGTATGTGTAAATTAGATAAATGTTGTCTTTTTCTAAATTATAATTAATTTGCAGAAATTGTTATTAGTAAAGTGCCTAGAAATTCTGCCCACACCTAGTCATAACCCTAAAATTAAAATGTCTGTCTTTGTCCATCTGAAATGTTGGAAGGTATGTAATTCAGAAAAATATCACTGCTAGGGGAAATAATTAGAAACATCAAATGTGTTATTTTTGGTGACTAAACAGTGTTTACTGCCACTATAAACACTTGATTCTTAATGTAATGTGTAGTTACATGCAATCCTAATAATACTGTTTACATCATACATCCATTGAATGTATCAATTATATGCTTTCTTTTCAAGGTCTTTGGTCTGGAATGATTATGTGTGTCTTTGTGCAATCCATTCTTGTTATGATATATATTATTCGAATAAATTGGAACAAAGCATATGAAGAGGTAAGGATATAGCACGCATGAAAATTGCAAATGTTACAAGACTACCAAAAATAAAACAAAAACATAGGACCTTACGAAAAGTGCACCATATGGCCTCAGTGTGACCAAGCTCACCAATGCTTAAAAGTAGCCGTACATTCATGAGTCTCACAGCAAATCCTTAGCAGGAGGTAAATGGAGGTATATGCTAATTTCCTTTGTCCCTCTAATTTAAGACTCTTGTTGTGGTAGTTTTTATTATTCTTTTTAATATAGTCTCCTCTTTTACTGTGTTGATTCCTTTTTATGTATTTAAATGTTTCTATCATATCCTCCCTGTGTCGTCTTTCCTCCAAGCTATACATATATACAAATATATAGCTATGCATGCTCTATATTTTGGATGAGCATACTGTCTTAAGATAATTCTCAATGGATATAATTTTTTTTTTCTCATTTTTAAATAGGCTCAGTTTCGAGCAGGAATACGATTTTTAAATGAAGCTGAATCGTTTAAAGATGGATCCACTGGTGCTACTGGCCTAAAGATAATTGGTATGTGCTGTGAACATTAATTTGTATACATGCAGTTGTTCACTGTGCATTTTTTAAACTAAATCTCTTAACACACTTATGTATTCAGATATAGATGTGCAATGTCAAAAATGATTCCAGGGATATCTGTATGGCATGGATATCCTTAACCCAGGAAAAAAGAATATCCCAGGGCAAACATAACCTTATGCCAAATTTTATACTTCCATCAAAAATGAAAAATTAAAGATATAATAGCCAGATGGCATAAAAATACTTAAATTACACTGACTACTGCCCTGCAAGTCAGATATTAATGATAACTAAGCAAAACCAGTACCAAGAGCTGGTTGCTAAAAGCAATATGAAAAATATCGCTAAAAAACAACATTGATGCAATGTCTAACCATCAATCTCGAACTGTTTATAATTTGATATGATGGTTGTTAGGAGGAAAGCTATTATTTTAGGTGCATAACTGTCTGTGTATGAAAGAACAGAAGTCCTACTGAAATTAAGACTAGTGATGGGTATTTTATAAAAGTATTTTATTATAGTAAAGCTTTTTATTAACTTTTATTGTATCCATTTTTTTTAAAAGTTTCTATTATATTAAATTGTACTGTATTAATCTGTATTAATCAATTCTCTGCATTTACTTTCTGGTGTTTAACATTTTGTATACAATGTAATGTAATTTATTCTGTATGGACTTTAATTAATTAATTAATTAATTAACAACTGAGGGATATATAAGCAGTCCCATATGGAGGTTAACACATACGTCTCTGAGGAAGTAGGGCTATTCCCTACGAAATGCGTCAGACACTTCACAGAACGTCCACACAGCAACAGCCAGCCAAGGTATTATCACAAGAGCCTAGATATCATCTCGGATCCCAGGCACCCCACTAATATCATACGAAGAGCAGCGCAGTTCCCCCGAAGTGAGGCTCGAGGTGGAATGCACTGTGTTACGCAAGCCGTCCTCACCGACGATCAGAATTTGGATATTGAATTGTGAAGAACATCCATATCCATCCATGCCTGGAAATAAGGTTGTAGGTTGTTGTGTATTTTTTACCTTTAATGGATTGGTATTTTTACTGTGTACTTATTTTTAACTTTATTTTACTATTCTGAAATAAATTTGACTTTTATATTCTCAGTTGGTTTTTTTAGCGATATTTTTCATGTTGCTTATAGCAACCAGCTCTTGGTACTGGTTTTGCTTGGTTATCATTAATATCTGACTTGCAGGACAATAGTCAGTGTAATTCAAGTATTTTAATGCCATCTAGCTATTATATCTTTCATTTTAGTGTGTGTGTGCGTGTGTGTTTGTGTGTTTTGGCAGTACATGTGTATATATGCATACATCTCAGCATTCAAATGCCAACACTACACACAAATACACCCCTGCATTCAAACTTCAACAGTACATACAAACACACCTCTTTGTTAAACACCAAAATGTTATATATACACATCCCTGCATTCAAAAACCAACACTACACATAAATTCATGCTTGCATTCAAGTGCCATCTCCACATACAAACACACACCCCTACATTCACACAAACATGCTTACATTTAAACACAAAAACAGTACTCAGTGCTAAATAAAACCCTGCACGCATGGGAAAATGATAGAAACCCAGCTGTCAAAGCATTGTTGGAGTTGCACGACAGATGGGTATCTACCCTGGCATATAGAACCCTTTAATTAATTAATGCAATAGAACCCTCTCTACTTTACGTCTGCCTCTGTGTTGGTGTGTGTGTATGTGTGGCGGGGAGGGGGGGAGGAGGAAGGGGAGGCTTGATTGCATGCCCAGGGTCCAATCAATATTAAAGACTGCCCTGATTATGAACACATTTTGGTTACCCCTTGTAAATGCTATTTTAATATGATTTTTTTTCATTATTCCACTTTTATAACATATGCATTTTGCCATTTTATAGGTGACCTGAAAGCTTCTGATCATAAACATTATGGGATGAATGCTACAGAAGGGATTATGCTACAAGATATTGCTGCTGTTGACAAATATATAGACAAGCACAAACATGCCTTCACTGAGGCTACAAACGTTGTTGGAGAAGTTCTCTCTGTGAAGCAACTGATTCTTCGGCGTGGTTTGGTCATTATTACAGCTGTAGCTACATTAGTTATTGGTGTACTAATTAATCTTCTGATTGGTAATGGATAAAATTATGAATTTATTTATTCTCTAGAAGACCATTTTCAACTGCACTGTCATGTCATTGGGACGAGGGAATATTTCACTAAATTATTATCAAGACTGTATTATTTTTGGAACAGAGGAACATAGACCATGTAACACATTTAATTTAATGTGAAACAAAAAACAATCCAACCAACCAATGAAACTACATTTCTGTGATGACAATATATATGATTATATAATATTACATATTGTTACATAGCTGAAAAGAGACGTGTCCATCAAGTTAAAAAATCCTCACATTTGTTTTTGCTGTTCATTCAAAAGAAGGCAAAAAAACCCCAGTCTGAAGCACTTCCAATTGTACAAAATACTAGGAAAAAAAATTCCTTATTGACCTCAGAATGGCAGTCAAATATCTCCTTGGATCAAGAAGTTATTACCTCGCTAATAAAAAAAATATATCCCTGTAAATTTATGTTTTTGCAAGTATTTATCCAATTGCTATTTAAACATATGTATAAACTCTGATAAAACCACCTCTTCAGCCAGAGAATTCCATATCCTTAATGTTTAATATTTTCATCCCGAGAATGAATGCCCCTATTTATACATGACAATACCTTACTGGCTTTAGCAATTGCTGGTTGACATTGAATATTGTTTTCTAGTTTATTGTCCGAAACAATTCCCAAATCCCTTTCATGTGTTATTCCTAATTAACTGCTTTTTAGGGTGTTTCTTGTGCGTTCTTTACCCCGAAGTGCATTTTTCTACTTTAAATTTCATCTGCCCAGCCCTGCATTCTAATCTAGTTCCCTCTGCAGCAAATCAAAATCCTGCTCACATTGTTTTACTTTGCAGAGTTTTGTGTCATCTCTCAACACAAGAGAAGCAGTAGCAGAACTCTAAGGAACACCACAGACCACATTTGTCCAGCTTAAAATTTTGCCTTTAATGACTACTCTCTTTACTCTATCTTTAAGCCAATACTCTTTAATCCAAGAACAAGAATTTTCATCTAGACCTATTTCTTTTAGTTTAAACACTAACCTATTATGAGGAACCGTTTCAAATGCCTTGACAAAATCTAATTAGATTACATCCACTGTAACACCCTGATCTATACTTCTACTTACTTCTTCGTAGAATGGACCTACAGAAAATAAGCTCACATGTCTATAATTTTTTACATATAGGAACCAAATTAGACTCCTCCAATCCTCAAGTACAATTCCTGAAAGAAAAGGATCTTGAAAGATTAAATATAGAGGTTTATTAAATATAGAGGTTTACTTATTTCTACACTTAGCTCCTTAAGTATTCATGGGTCAATACCGTGAGGACCCAGAGCTTTGCTTACATTATTTTTCTTTAAATGCTATCAAGTCATCTAATCATAATTTTTCTGCTAGTTTTTTTTTTTTCTTCAGAAATAATATGCATATCTCTTACCACAGGATCCACTTTAACATATACAGAGGAAAAGTAATTACTTAAAATTCCTGCCTTTCCTGGTCTTCCTTAGCTAATACACTGATCTTTGTTTTCAGGGTACCTACACTTTCATTTTTTTTAGAATTTATGTACTTAATTTTTTTTTTTTTGGGGGGGGGGGTTGGTTTTGCGTTCTTTGGCTATTAATTTCTCAATTTCTAGCCGAGCCATTCTAATTTCCTTTTTGCATGCATTATTGGCTTCTTTATATCTAATATAGGATGCCTCTGATTTGTCTGTTTTGTCTGATTTGTCGGATTTAAATCCTTTAAATGAGAACTGTTCATTTCTAATATTTTTTGAAGATATTAAACTTATCCTCAGTGGTTATTTTCACTAAAGAGTTTATGCAAAGCAAAATGTTGTAAAGCTACCCTTACTTTATTTAAATTGGTCTTTTTAAAATGATATGTTTTAGTATAACCCATGTGCTTTTGCTTTTTTGAGTTTATTTCAAAAGACACCATATTGTGATCACTATTTCCCAAGCGCTCCCCTACTTGACAGTAGGTTAAAAAAAAATAAGTATCAACATTACAGATCCAGACAAGAGTCCTTTCTAGTTGGTGCTTGTATCAGTAATGATATGAATAAATAATTCAATTGGTTTCTCATAATTTTAAATCATGATCTTAAATTTAGATGCTATTACCTAACCCTATGGTAATACAAACTGAAGAAAGAAGAACATCTACAAATTTGAAGAGAATCCGGTTACTGACGTTAGTGTCTAACAAACGCAATGACAAGCTTTTAAGCGAACAGTAGAAATACATACATCAAAGAGAAGGAAAGAGCAGGGGTTAAAATGAATCATCCAAAGAGAATGGAATTTTTATGCAGTGTACATGGATCCAGTTTCTGAATTTTAATTTTTTAAATGCAAGAGGACATCCCACTGGGTGGGACACAGTACAACCAATCACACAATGGTTACATCCCACACATCTCCTCCCCTTAGCCTGAGAGGTAACCCAATTATCCATACATTTTAAAACACACTTTTTACCCAACTTTCATAACTCTAAAACTGTACATCACATTCACATAAAACTACATATTCACAATCAATCCATTCAGGGGAACAACATATTAAAAAATGGCCTGAATCAGACCAGGGGTTCAGAAGTTAGCACAAGTATCTTTTGGGGCCTGGCTGGCAGCATGGATATCTGGCCCAAACAGGTTTCAGAGTCTTCTATTCTGGAGATACTTGAGAAGTAATGCAATTATCTCCAAGGACAGAGGCAAAACTCCATTAGCCACATGGCAGACAAAGGACAACAAAAGACATAAAAATACATACTGTTACATTTATCACATAGAACCTACACATTTCCAATTTACCGAACACATAATAGCATATATAATATTGCAGACCGCCTGAATGCAATCTGCTACACAGTCTTAAAGGGACATTGTTCCTAAAAGTCATAATATGTCCAGGGATGGTTTTTAAAGGGCCAGCAGCAGCACCATACAAATCCAATATGCCCAAATATTGTACTTGAAGGGCCAAATAACCCAGGGCCATAGTCATGAGGCAAGAGGCTGGCAATCAGGCTCCTCCAACAGCCAGGGGAAAATCCGGTGACAAAAGGCGTTTCGTCACACTTTATATGAATTTTCTTGTAGTCTCACTGATCCTGAGGTCTTCTGGATGAGAGTGATGATCTTATCCCAATCTGTGTCCGTGAGTGTGTCCTTGAGATCCTCTTCCCAGCGCCTAATGCAAGGCGGTGCCAGCAGGTACCAACCCGTAGCCAGCAAGGTGTATATCTAGGATATCGTTTTCAGCAGTGGTGAGTCAAACAAGCATAGAGATTGAAATTCCATGCATTCCTGTGTTAAGCATGGCCGCGGGAAATCTGGGTTACCCCTGAGGGGGAGCAGGGGGCTCGGGTCAGTTGTAAGAAAGTATTTGGGGCCGTTTTGGTGCCAGATATGGAGGGTAGCTTTCACGAATGGGTTCGTGTGTTGGATTCATCTGCTTGCTTCCTGTGTGAGCCAGGGCAGTGACTTGTTGCTATCAGCCCCTAGTTGTACCCAGGGTTTGTGTCGGGGTGCCACCGACCAGCTAATGCTCCTAGTAAGGTGGGCTGCAATGTAGTACTTCCTGAAGTCAGGAAGGGCTAGTCCCCCTTTGAGTTTAGGAAGAGTTAGTTGGGAGTGAGCTATCCGGGGGGGTCTGCCTTTCCATATAAAGTAACGGACTGCCTGGATGGATGTGAAAAAGCTCTTCAGTACTGTTTGGAAAATGAATAAGAATTTGGGGAGTAGAGTCATCTTGGCTGTGTTGATGCGGCCTTGCCAGGAGATGTAGTAAGAGTTCCAGGTGTGGCGTTCTGCCTGCGCGGTTTTGAGGAGTGGTACGAAGTTGTGGGTGTAAAGGTTCACCGGGTCTGGTGTGAGCCATATCCCTAAATAGCGCATCTTGGCTTTGCACCAGTGGAAGGGGAAGCGACATCTGAGTGTCTGTGGTTGGGGTTGCCCGGCGTTAAGATCTAAAATTTCGGATTTAGTATAATTGATGCGTAAGTTTGAGACGTTGCCGTATGTCTCAAATTCAGTCATGATCGCTTGGTGTGTTGTGCCCGGGTATTGTACGGTGAAGAGGAGGTCATCTGTGATTGGCCTATATCGAGTCTGTGTATCACCGCGTTGCCTCTGATGTTATTGAGGAATAGCTCCAGGGTTAGTGCAAAGAGCAGAGGGGATAAGGGGCAGCCTTGGCGCGTCTCATTGCACATTTGGAATGCCCTGTTGATGCGTAGTTGTGCCATCGGCTCATTGTAGAGCGCCTCGACCCAGTGTATGTATTTGTGGCCGATGCCCAGGCTCCGGAGGGTCTCAAAGAGAAATTTCCAGTCCACCCTATCAAAGGCCTTTTCGGCGTCCATGGAGAGGAGCAGGCCAGGAGCTTGACGTCCATGTCTAGAACTGAGATTGGACGGTAGCTTGCGCAGGATGTCAGGTCCTTGCCCTCTTTCGGGAGGAGGGTGATATTTGCTGCTGTAAACGGGGTTGAGGGGGTCGCTCCGTGTAGGATCGAGTTCAGGGCTGCGTGTAGTTTCAGTAGGAGGTCTGGCAGAAAGGTTTTATAGTAAAGTAGTGGTAGACCATCTGGTCCTGGTGATTTTCCCATCTTTGTCTTCCTGATCGTGTATGTCAGTTCTTCCAGGGTGATGGGAGCATCTAGTTCGTCCTGGTCTGAGGCGGTAATTTGGTTTAATCCGGCTGTGGCCAGGTAAGTGAGGATGGCTTCGCTCCTGCGGAGTGTCCCGGTGTCCTGTGTGCCTTGGTGTATATTGTAGAGGTCCTTGTAGTATTGGAGGAACGCGGCAGAGATCTGCTCCGGTAGGTGACGTATTTGCTGGGTGGCATCTTTTATCTTGGGGATGTAAAGAGAGAAGAAGAGAGGGGAAAAAAAGGAGGGGTTGGGGGAGAGAAGGAGGGGGGGTGTTAGTGTGTTGATGTGTTAGTGGTGTGGTGGGTTGGTCCTGATAGGACCTAAAGTATTATCTGGT